TGAATGAGCTTATGTAAATGGAGAGGCTGTCAGTTTCAATGAATATAAATTAAAGTGCAGGTTGACAGATCCTGTTGTCTAAGATCATTAATCATGGATTTGGTTAGTTAGTTGATTGCGAGGTTGAGAAGATAGGAAAGACGTCTGACTAACAAGCACCGCCGGATTTACTCAGTATATACGATTGACGTAGACATTGATAATTTGCTTATAAATATAAAGTTTATTACATTGTCTCTCTTCCAATTTGATGGAGTATCTTAGTCTCAATCTACATTCAATTAAAGTTTAAAAATGAGCTCTGCTATACTACACCAAACCATTATAAGGTACTAAGGAAATCTACAAAGTTTTTCAAAGCTGCAGAACCATAAATCTGAAGGTTGTATCAATTTATCAAAAGATAATTAGATGTGAAACCCCCAGCTTCTAAATATTTTGCTTATTACAGTGCAAGCTATACTCAATGAAACCTTTTTTCGATTAAATCTTCAGCCCCGATACAGAAATTGGAGATCTAAAACCTATTCCAGGACCTGCTGGTGTCTGGAGGATGTTCCAAGCATAAAGAAGGGTGATACGTAACACGACCAAATCTACCAAAGTCTACAAAATTTTACAAAGGGGTAGAACGATAATTTTGAAGTTACTATCAATTTATTGAAGGGAAATTAGATATAAAGCATCAATATTTGACCTCAAACCTTCAAGTTTTGAAATATTGTGGTTATTGCAAGTTAAGCTCAATGAAATCTTTTTCAATTAGATATAAATTTCGATACAGAAATGGGAGAACTGAAAACCATATTTCGGCTACATAACAGATCATGTTTTTAGTATAAAAAGCGTGAAACGTAACACGGTAGAATAAGCAAGCGACAAGAACTAACGATCTGCCAATTTATTTAAGCTCAGGCAAGAAGGAAACCTTCCTTTATTTTATTTATTTCTCTCTACTTTTTTCAAACTTTATTCATTTGTCTTAAGATAGTTCTCTGTTTTTATTTATTTTTAATGATACGCTTATAAAAAATTCAGCTTCATTTTTAACGACATACAAAATTCCCAAAATGAAGCGCACACTTTAAGGATCTCATATTTCCCCATTAACCCATTGTTCGCCAACTATAATAATTCACAACACTGTCAACTTTAAGCCAGTTCAAATTAAAAATGCCTATTAAATTCCACACTATATGATGGAAAAAAAATTTTATGATATTTTTGAATAATTGTCCATGCTATGACTGCGACAAATTCATCGCATAAAAAAGCACTTCAGATCACTTCAAAGTAAGAAAGTCACTAAAAATAGAGCTGTAGAGAATTTCGCGCAAATATACGTACAAAAACAAACAAAAAGCAAGTAAAATGTCTTTTTATGTGTGTATGCATGTACATAAATGTATGCCAGCAGCCAGAGGATCTCAAAAGGAGGAACGACAAAGCAACGCCTCAAGGAATTACACACTTAATTAATGAGTGTTTTTGATCTTACTCGGTTATGTTTTCTTACATACTTATACGCATACACACATAATATATAAAATGGAGCTTACGTACATATATGTCGTTTAGCTGTATAAAGACGAGGGGAGCTTTATAGAACAGAGAAACGCTTTATTAAAAAAAAAATCTTTTAAAAGCCCTAAAAATAGTATAATCATATTTCGATTCATATACAAGTATAATCAGGGCGGCAAACCCCAGAGTAGTTCTGGGATTTCTCTTGCCAATCACGATCACATATTATTTGTGGGTTCAACTGATTTCTATGAGTTTTGTCAATAATTTCTAACTTGAGTACGCTTTTTTGGTGATCTATAGCATAAATGTTTCCTGTGCTCTTGCGTTCTCAATGGATTCCATGACTAAACTTAGGTCTGACATTGGCAACCTCTATATATAAAGTCTTTTTTCTCATTAGTTGTACATCCAGTGAATTTCTATGAGTTTTGTCAATAATTTCTAGCTTGCGAACGCTTTTTGGGAGATCCATAGCTTGTCTCTTAAGCGGTTATAATGCCAATGGATTTCACTAAATAAGTATTTTGTCATTAAGATTTAAAGTTAGGATTTACCAATCTCAAGTTCTGCTTTAAATTTGGTGTTATTTTCGAAGTAAAAATTAATGTTTCTAAGCATTCAATGTAATTTTGGTCCCTTTTTCTAAATACATTGTATATGAGCTTTTCTCCATTCCTTGGCTTTTTAACGCTAAAAAATGGCGTCGATTCCAAAAATAATGAAATTTTTCATAAAATATACGGTAATAGCGAAATACAAATTGCAAAAGCTTTATCAGACTAACCTCGTATGAGCTAACTCAATAATTTGCGGGAGAAAACTGCAATAAACAAAACTAAAACTCGACAAGAAACAGCCTAAGCGAGCAGTACTACAATAAAGACAAATAAAGTGTTTCGACTTGAAGAGCTGCTATGAGATAATTTGGAGTTGTAAGGCCGCCACTATAAATGAGGACATTATGAAGTGACAAAAAGCTATTTCTTTGGAATATTTCATGTGACTTAGAATTTTTTACTTTTTGAATCTCTTTTTTACTTTGTTGCTTTTGTTGTGTTGGTACTTTCTGAATGCAAAAATCAAGCGGAACATAACACAGACAGACAGCTAGAGGGTCTCGTAGTAGCGCAGCAAATTTCCCTATCAAACGAACTGTCGCCCACCCCCTGACACAAGTAAGTACAGCAGCGGATGACACTCTCACTGTCTGTCAGTTTGGCGGCCCACGCCACTTGTGCGTTTCCCATATATCACCCGAGAGCTGTGTTGATAATAATGCGAATATAATCCCATGAAGAACGAGTATTTGGCGGCATGTGTGTCAGAGACATTTTATGTGGCAGCGCGGTGCAGTGTTGCACAATTCACGCTAATCTACATTGGGTGGCAGTGAACATCTCGAAATTGTCACACAGTCGCAAAAGTGACATTCCAAAACAACACATACATATGTATTTATGTGCCTTTATAAACAAATAAAAAGGCGGAGAAAAACTACGCGAATGGCGCGAGGTGTGTGGATGTTGCCATTGCCCTCTGTGGCAAATTGGGAATCGTCAGTGCACCCGGCGAACGAGGCTAAGCAGAACAAACATGTGTGTGTGTGTGTGCTACTCGTTTGCAACGAGGCACGACACAATACTTTGCTGCTGTTCGCATGTGTGCCTAATTATTTCATGATTAACTGAAGTTCAAAGCAAAGCGAGAAAATTAACCACAAAGGTACATAAACACAAACTATGACAATTGAAGATGTTAGCAGCGTGAACTCAAAGAGTGTATGGTGTGGCAAATTTGTAGAGATAACGATATGCACACAATTTGCATTAATCGGGACTAGAATGCCGTTATAGGAGGCGAAAATATTCCAGCAGACAATAGTTCGATCAGGTGAAATACCGAGTTTTATCCTTGAGAGATAGCTTTTATAAAGGCTATCAATTGAGGAGAGAGTAAGGAAGTAAGAAGAATGGCAATACAAGCATTGAGCTCGCTAATTGTGCTCTCCAAATTAGTGAAGAAGTGTCGGTTCTCACTAGAAATAGCACCAAGCTACTTTATTATCAGCCTGGTCTTAGCAGAATAGCTTGAGTAGCAGAGTCCCCACTTCTGAAAAAATTTAAAGCGGTATCAACTTATTTTCAAAGAAAAAGTATAAGAACTCTTCATTGCAAAGACAAAATAGAGCAAATTTCTGTACGTAAACAACAAAAGAAACATTTTTCTTAAACTTTTCAAAATGTTTAAACTTTGTTTGGATGCATCTCGATATTGGGGTTAAATTTAAAAGTTAAACAGGAAAAAAATTGCTAGAACAACTTTCTCCACAACTTCAAATTGTTCCAAGATTTAGTGAACACTGGATTAAATAAGAATTCATAATCTAGCAAGTGGTGGTGACGAACTAAACGTGTCTATAATTTAATGAAACTTCCAATGAATCACATTTTATTCAACAATTTGACCTAATTGTAAAACAAGGATGTTTTTATTCACTATGCACTAAATTTACGAAATCGAAGATATATAAAAAATATTATACTATATTGCCACCAACGCATACATAACAATATACACACATATATGAAATAAAAGACTTGCGAATATGCGATGCGGGTGCATGTAGTGATGACAAGGTAATAAAATCGAACTCTCAGCTAGAAACAATGAATGTTTTGTTTACACAATAGCATATTTATGAATACTAATAAGTATGAAAATGTAAATGAGATTCTCAGAATATATATACTATATATTTATATATGTATGCAGTAATAACTGATAACAAAGCACGACCCCAAGCCCTAAGCCAGATTGTGCGATGAATGCTTATTAATGCTATGCAAATGATTAAACCGCAATACTACGCTGTGCCTTGATAAGTACAATACATAAATTATAGAATTGCATAAAAAAGAAGAAAAAATGTTAACTTCGGTTGCACCCTTCACAAATTGAAACATTTTCCAGACAAGAACTTTATGTTGATCGATCAGTTTGTATGACAACTATATGATATAGTGTTTCGATATCGGCAATTCCAACAAATGAGCAGCTTCTTGAGAAGTAAACAATATGTGCAAAATTTCGATCGATATCGTAAAAACTCAGGGACTAGTTCGCATATATACAGAGGTATAGAAAGACGAACATGGCTTAATCGACTCAGCTCATCACGCTGATAGTCTAAGAGCCAGTGGATGGATGTATCATTTATATATACATACATATATTTTATAGGATCCCCGACATTTCCTTCTGGACATTACAAAGTTCGTGGCAAACTTAGGGTATCTTAATATAATAAAATAGTTTTCTACACAATAGCTGCATGTACATATGTGTGGAAAAATCAAGTAGAAGACGCGACAAATACAAATGCCAACAGTTACTTATTTATATCAGTACATAATTCACTGCTATCGGCAGTCACTTAGTAATTTTATGCTAAAACAAGCAGTTTGTCAACTCACCGTAGGGCACCTTATCGTCTTGGTTGTCATCCAGCGATGTCGCCGATGAAGACACGTCGTCGTCCCACTCCTCAGCTGTATTGGCGAACGGCGCAGTAACTACTTCAACGCTATCGCCATCAACAACAACATCAATAATATCATCAGATGAGTTGGAGTTGCGTGATTTTTTATTTTGCCGCTGACGGCGACGATGTTGCCGTTGATGTTGCTGCTGCTGTTGTCGCCGTACACGTTGTTGCTGTTGGCGTTGGTGTTGGTGTTGCTGTTTCCTCAAAACCAATTGTTGCCACATTCTTTTCTCTAACGAATCCATGAACACTGCGTCGGCGTCGGCATCTGCGCTGCTCTGCCGCAAACGACTAAGCATTTCACGCGCCTGCGCCGTCGTGTATTTATCCACCATATCCTCAACGCTCGCGCTACCAACATTGCTGTTATCGTTGCCATTGTCGGCAGCCTGTGCGGACAAGTGTAGTAGCGTTAGCAACACGATTGTGGTGAGCGTCAGGCAAAATTGCAGGTAATGCATTTGTTTGTTTTATAACTTTTTTGGTTTAAGTGTTTGTTTGGTTGTTGTGTTTTATTTTCGTTTTGGTATTTCCTTTTACAACTCTATTGCTTGATAAGTTATTCTGCAGGATATGCTAGTTCCTGTCGCTTTTTTTTTTTTCTTTTTACCGCGTTTCTTTTCACCGTGTTTTAATTGAGTGTTTTATACTTATATTTTTTGCATTATACACTTGTGCACTCATTGAATTTATGAATTTATGTATGTCATTAAATATTTATCACCGGAAATGTAGACATTTCCACTATACCGCGTCTTCAGCGCATTTTATTGCATTTGCCTGCACTTTATATGCGATAATTTTCGCATTGCATACGCCTTCATGCCACACTATCAGTTGAGCTGCTGAGTAATGAAGAAATTAATAAATATGGTAAATAAACACTTATCACTGCACAAAATATGTGTGTGTTGACTGCTGCACATTTTATTATATTCCTTTATATTATACATTCGTCTACAATGCTCTCCGCTAATTTTATAAATTCAATAGCGCACATTTTCTGCATCAACGAATTTAAATTGTCACTTCTCGCTTAATAACCTAGCCTTTGTCATCGCGTCCTATGTGCCATTTAATTTTTTTGTTGTGCATTGCTCGTTCTTTACGCATTTTGACACTTGCCCCACTATTTGTACACACGCATTCCTACACATACTCGCCCGCGGTTATCAGCTTGTGTGCCCGCACTCGCTGGCATATTTCATATATTAATAACAACTAAATTCTTTACAGCATTAGTTATGCTAACATATATATATATACTCACACATGCACACATATTCGACTGTTGACACTTGCTACAAGTAGTGTACTAGTATTTGTTGTTATTTGTATTCGTATTTTTGTGCAGCCACACAAACGCTGGCAATATGAGCACATTTCCCAATTAAATTTTTAATTGAAATTTGTCGCGGCATATTAAACGCTCTCATTCATTTGGATTTATGTGCATTTTTAATGACGAGTGTACATTTATTTCATCAAGCTAATAAATTTTGTGTGAACAAAATGCCGGCAGACGATTTAGCATACGATGCAATGTAAACGAGTTAATAGCGATTAATTTCTATGATGATGAAATCATCTCGTTGCACTATGAGTATTAGGATTTAGTGCATGATGCACCGACATGTGTTATCATCATTATTATTAGAACAAATATGAAAATTTTGGCATTTATGTAAACAAAATTTAGTAGTGCGTTTTAGGTGAAATTCAAATTTCAATATGAATAATAAAAAATTGGTAAAAAAATGTTATTTGAAGCTCAACCAATTTGAAGCTACAGCTCTAACTAGCAAGCAAAACAATCTAGTAGTGTTATTTTAAGGTTTATGGTGAAAATGCTCTAGCTGCGCGAACATGCCAAAAATGAAACTAGAAGGTTTGCCTCGCCCGCCTTATAGCCCAAGATTTTCCCCTTCTGACTATCATTTGTTCGGGTCGATGCAGCATGCGCTCACCAGTCACATCAGAACAGATAACCAAAAATTGGCCTGATTCATTCTTGATCATCAAGCCGGCGCAGTTATTTTCCGATGGAATTCACAAATTGCCAGAAAAATAGGAAAATGCAGATGGGCAATACTTTGAATAACACTATTGAGCATATTTTTATCCAAAAAAAAATTAAAATTTGAAAAAAAACCAAATATAGTTATAGATACTGTCACTGGACTACTATTTTAAAGTTCACTAGTGACCAGAACCTTCATATTTTTATTTTTTTTTTTCAACAAATTAACACGCAAGTAAGTGTCCATTAATATAATCGCAGCGTACATTTAATTTAAACTGCATTTGCATATGCCACAAATAACCTAAGCAACTCGCACATGTCCTCACACGAATAAAACTATACACAAGTTCCCGCGCAATTTTTACTGTCCACTTCTGCTCCAATACGCGACATCATTAATTAGTCCAATTGACCTCCATTTCGAAAGTCAAAATTTGAAATCAACAAAGCAACAAAAAACAGCGTACAACAAACGACACAGGGAATGAGTAACGAGCGGCAGCGGCGAATACGGATAGACAACATAGCACAAAGGCAAACAGAAGCCAGAAGCATGAAGCACTTGCTCAAACAAACACACACACACACCTAATGGTGGAGGTGGAGTATAAAATGAGGCAGACAACAGCTGTCAAAAGCAAAGTCATTGAAAAGCGGGGCATTTTAGCTTGTTAAAGGAAGTCAACCACTGACAAATGCCAAAGAAATGTATTATGTGCTTTATGTGTGCAGAAAGTAGTAATTTTACTGGAAATAGAGTGGGTGTGGGTGGCGCACAGCATGTTAGCGCGTTTGTAGTTTGCTAGCCGTGTGTGGTAAGCGAGATTTGAGCGCACTTAAGGAAGATGCTTTTACCGGCATGTCTAGGCGGACGCTTTTATGTTTTATGAAAATATGGTAAACGCATGCTATTACATTACCTTTTTCCCACAGCACAAACAAGTGGGCGGAACTATGCGCATGCCAGCAAAATCACGTTGCCACCCCCTGTGAGTACATCAAAGCGAATTCCCACACATAAATAAAAATGCCATACTTTGATGTTTCTAAATTGCACTCAGCGGTGAGCACGCAAGAAGTAGGGGGACAAAATACAACAACTATATGCATGCATATGCACGAGGATAATGACGGTAAAAAATACAGCTGCATGGAGATGCAAATAGCGGCACAGCGCGCTGACAAAGTGTAGCCGTTTTTGTTGAGACGCGCGCACGTTTGTATAGCACACTTTGAGGCGCGCAAACATGCTGTGCACACACACACGCATACAGTAGCAGCTATTGTGTCTCTCACTCTCAGCAAATAAATATATATATTTGTATGTAGTACAACAAAGGCACACTTTTAAGGACACCGCACGAGACACAAGCCAAGCGCGTACCACAGACCCGCTTTTCAAAGGATTACAGCGGTGCCGCGCGGCACGGCGCACAACTCGTTGACAGATAAAACAAGCAAAGCAAAGAAATCCTCTGTGATGTTGCCGACGTCATCCGCTACTTCAGAATGGGGCAGCAGCCACTAAACATTAACGCCAACGCCATCACTACCTTTGGCGCATCATCGCGCGAATTGGAGTAGTTGCCACCACCCCCAACCCCAATCAACTCATATTATCACTCTTGTTATGCTATTTCACTATTACATCAGTCGTACGCTGTCACTCAATGCTCTGCGGAGGGTAGACTTCCGGCGTAATGGTAAACAAAATGTACGTACAAGGTAAAATAGAGCACACAAAGGTTTTGTGGCAGGCGCGCAGGCGGGTAGTGGTCTTTGTGTAAGACGTCAGTACAGCGTGTTGGGGTAACGATTACTCGTCAGCGCATTAATTATGTATGTATGAATGTATGCTGTTAATAGCAAACAGTCGTGAGGGGACATTATATCAAAGTCCCGTTTATATTCGCGCGCTAACGTTGAGTGTAGTTTAAGAAAAAAGGATACAAAACAAAAACTCAAAATGGACAAACTATCAAAGAGGGGCCGCTGCGCCGATTGCTTTTTGCTTTGATACACCGTAAGTAATCGACAACTCGTTTGTATGGTAAATATGTGTGTTTCCGTAAACTCATATTTAAATAGGATACCGGAAGCAAGGATGTTAGCGCACGTACTGTCTAATTTTTGTTGTTGTTTTTGTTCCGGAAGTACCATTCTTTGCAACATAAAGTGCTACAAGCTTTTAATTTTTTTTTTTATACTACGTATAACTTATAAAACTATATACTCGTTTTGTTTACTTCTATTTTTGTTTTGATCACTCTTTCACCAATTTTTGTATGTAACATGCACTTCAAGTATTTATATACCCGCGCACATTTCGTTTCCGTCCGTCTACGCGCACACGGCACCCATTTATTACGATTGATAAAAGCCAAATGATACGCAGTTGGGCAAAAATGTAGCAAAAGACTTGGAGATTATACTACACTTTCATAAAAAGTAGTTTGGTATGAAAAAAATTTCAAAGCAACACTAACTAGGCAAGGAAATGGAGTTGCCAGCTCAACTGAAGTAAGCAGATAATTGAAATATTTGCTGGTTATACAAACAAAATATTTAAAAAATGCATTTTAACAGTAATTAAAAATAATTCAATTATTATATTATATATATAATCGCCTTGTCGTAATACACCCTAAAAAATAGAAAGTTTTTTTTAGATATTTTCAGAGTATATAAAATAATAATCTACATTCTCTGATATTTCTATAAAAAAATGTCCCCTACGTATAACATTTTATCTTCTGCTGTTTAACAGTATTTTTTGATACGCCTTTATTATCTTATTTATTTTCTCATATAACGTTTCTATAATTTTGCATATAAAATCCCTCAACACGCTTAGATAAATCCTCTATATTTCTACTGTCAAACTGCGCTATCGCTGCCGGCGCTGACGTAGTCGTTATATTTGTTTTTCACCGATTTGACATTTTGCTGTCTAGCCGTTGTCGCTGTCGTCGTCGCCGTTGTCGTCGTTAACGCAGCTGAGTCTTCGTAGGTTGTTCGTCATTGATTTTTTATTTTTTCCAACGCATTTCCGCAAACGGCAGTGAAAAAATTTTGTGTCTTTCAAATAAAATTCCCTAACATCATAAATTGTTGCAATTAATTGCAAATTTGTGGAAAATTTGCAATTATGGGCGACAATGAGCAAAAAGCGCTGCAATTGATGGCTGAGGCCGAGAAGAAATTAACGCAGCAAAAAGGTTTTCTCGGTTCACTTTTTGGGTGAGTGTGTGTGCCACCAAAGTGCTCCAATTGGAGCACCAACTCTTAATTGTGTCGTTTATTAACTATTTGCTTATGTGGAAATATAAATAAACAAAGATTTTCTTTGTTCAAGAAAAATTGCCAGTGATTTATATACATACATATATAATGTAGGTGTTTATTGCAAAATGTACTGTGTCGCAAGATTATCGATTTTTACACTTGTGTGAAAACAAGAAGTGATGACTAAGCAGTGAAACGTAAAATTCGTATATCATTAAAACTAACTATGAACAGCTTCAGTAATGACTTCATTTAAAATTATAATTAGAAAACCTACATTCCCATGCAGTTGATAGTTGCAAAGGGTCACAGATATATACTTGATCTCATTGGTTGTGGAAGCAAGCGCGTTGTCGTAATCGTCAGCCATAGCGATTTCGATTTTTCGCAAGATGCCTTTGTACGCAACGCCCCGCCTGTCACCCACTTTGTTGGTGTTTACACTACACTTTTCTCACACTACATACAAGTTCCTTGTTTTTGTGCGCTAAGTCCTGTGTATACTGAAATTTGTGGCGCAGAAGCATAGCCTTTACGTCGCAGCACCTTTCACCCTGCAGTCAGTGGACTTGCCCTAAAAGGCTGGTATGTGTATAAAAATCTGTGCACTTTAAACCGATGTGTGCTTATACAGACACTTTAATGGAATGTCTACGAATATATAGAGCGATTGTGTGATTGTGAATTTTACTACTTTGAAGTAATGACATATACTTAGTTATAAGAAGATTTTGTAACATAGCGTGGAGTATTGGCTGGTATGACACTCAACACTTTATGCTGACTTTTAACTTCGGTAAATGTATAGTTTAGGTCCCCCAACTAAGGAGGCCTCAAAAATTAAATTTTTTTTTAAATCGTCTTATTTTTACGCGTAGATTACAAATTAACTTCTTTGAAAAGCCAGGTTTGCCGCAAACTTTAGCAATTCCACTTAATTACTACTGCATTACTCATACTCGACAGATATGGAAAAGCAATTTATGTTAATAATAATACAAGCAAAAATTAAAAAAAAAATAATATTTAAACATAATCATCCTACAACGAAGGACACAGTTTTTAACGAATTTCCTAAATGCACCATTATTTTCTTAATTATAATTTTTTTCGGCCATTTATTTTAAGCTATAATTTTATTTTCAGTGGTTCGAATAAGGTTGAAGATGCCATCGAATGCTACCAACGCGCCGGCAATATGTTCAAAATGTCCAAAAATTGGGCTAAAGCTGGCGAATGCTTCTGTGAGGTAGCCAACTTGCATTCACGTGCTGCTAGTCGTCACGATGCCGGTGTGGCATATGTAGATGCCTCCAATTGCTACAAGAAGGTTTGTACATACAAAAGCACTAAATGGAGAATTTTGTTAATGAAACTGATAACAATTTACAGATTGATGTTGAGAGCGCTGTCTCGTGCCTGCTGAAGGCGATTGACATCTACACCGATATGGGACGCTTTACCATGGCAGCAAAGCATCACCAGAGCATTGCTGAAATGTATGAGAGCGACCCAGGAACACTGGTAGGTTACACAATATATTTTACAAAACAGCTTATCGTTTTGTTATCATTATATGTGTATTAATTTATTTAACATAATCTCACAGGCCAAAGCTGTACAGCACTATGAACAAGCTGCTGATTACTTTAAGGGCGAGGAATCGGTGAGTTCAGCCAATAAGTGTATGTTGAAGGTAGCTCAATATGCCGCACAGCTGGAGGATTACGAAAAGGCTATAAATATATATGAGCAGGTTGGTTCAAGCGAATTTGTTTGTATAAAGTTTTTTAATTTTATTATATGGCAATATCTTTTTTGCTGTTTAGGTGGCAGCTTCATCGCTGGAAAGTTCACTGCTCAAATATAGCGCTAAAGAGTATTTCTTCCGGGCTGCATTATGTCATCTGAGTGTGGATCTGTTGAATGCTCAACATGCTATTGAAAAATATGCACAGCAATATCCAGCATTCCAAGACTCGCGTGAATTCAAGCTCATTAAGGTGTGTTCAAATAAATTTTTTTTTGTTGAAGCAAAATTTTATAAAAACCCATGTAGCTAATCGTTATAAAGCAAGTCTGAAGCTAACATGTAATATAAGTATATTTAGTTTGCCACGAACACCCGTCTGTCTGTATATACACGTATTAGCCCCTCAGTTTTTAAGATATTGACCCGAAATTTTGCACACGTCGTTCTCTCCCCAAGAAGCTGTTTATTGGTCGGAACCGACAATATCTAGCGGTCCGATACAAACTGATCGATCAAAATCAAGTCCTTTCCTTGTATGGAAATGTTTTTTATTTGACAAGAACTTTTCGAACGAAATTTGGTACAGCTTATTTTCCAAGGCAACGGCATAATCTCCGAACAAATTGTTCAGATCGGACCAGTATAGCATATAGCTGTCATACAAATTGACCAATCAAAAGCAATTTTTTCTTTTATTTGTGAAGGATATTATAAAATTAGTGCAGCTGAAGTTAACGTTTTTTCTTGAAATATTATTTATATAGTTAAAGTATTAACATATTTTTCTTCTGCTTGTATTAGGTGCTTTGCGAACACTTGGAAGAGCAAAACATCGAAGGCTTCACAGAAGCGGTCAAAGATTACGATAGCATCTCACGTCTGGACCAGTGGTATACCACAATATTGCTTAGAATTAAGAAAGCAGCCGATGAGGATCCCGATTTACGATAAATTTATCATTAATATTATTAATTATATACAAAAAAAAAAAAAGAAAAAATAATATTATTCCAAAATAGTAAACGTATATAAAAAAGAAGCATAAAACTTAAACGTAACTTTTTAAATTCCACATTCACTTGTCGAATATTCAATAGTTATACATACATATAAATACTTTATTTTTGAAGCATACTAAAGTAACCCCAGTTAATTAACAAAATAAAACTAAATTGATTTTATTTTATTTCAACAGTTGTATAACCAAAACTTCAGACACATACAGTTATTCTTTTACAAACAGTACAATAACAGGAACCACTACACCCACACACACACACACACAATTATAACAAAATAACACAATATACAGCAAACAGTTACCAATTGCTAGTGTTTCGTATAACATAACGGAAAGAAATAATCAACATTATTACTATTATTAACATAATGGAATGGAAGCAATACTAAAGCTTCTTAATACCAAAAAACAAAAATAAACATTTTATTTTAAAATTTCATATTGTGTAATACAAAAAATGTTTAATAGCTAACACTAAGAATTGCCTTGTGACAATATGTAGTTAGCAGAATTTAAAATGTATGGAAAATGGAATTTTTGCATAACTACCAAACGCTACAGCTGCGCTAAGCGTTTGCAAGTAGCGAGTAGCAAGTGAAATATTGAAAAGAATGTGCGCTAAAACAATAAAATTGATATATAATAATTGTGAGAAATTACTGCTCTTACCAACGACGTATATGCAATGCAAATGTGGCTAAAAAATGCATGTGAAAACTAGAAAAGCAAATAACGAACATGCAACGCTGACAAAAACATGCGGGAAAATGGAGAAATGTGAACTAATTTGCTAGTGCGGTGCGACGATTGAAAGAATGGTAATGCAAACATGCTTGAAATGTGCTGTTATGTACAACTAAATTGAGTTTTTTTTTATTAAAAATATAGAAATGAGTGTTCGTTTATGGCATATTTTTTATTAACAATCTGTTATATGCACGAACTGTTTTTGTTTGCTGTAAAAATAATTTTTTTATAATATTTTTTAACTAATTTGTAAGTGGACATTTGCTTTTTTGTTATTATATAACATAATAATAAAGTGGTTGGTTTTTTTTTGTTTTTAATAAATAAAATTTATTTATAATATTTTGTTCGTTTTTATTTATTTCTTTTTTGTTTTAAATTTTTTTTTTTTGTTTTTAACATTATTTTAATTTTTTGTTTAATTGTATTTAAAAAAAATTTTTTTTTGTTTAATAAAACTTAATTAAACAAAAAAACAATTTTTTTAAGCATACTTTTTGCTCAAGGCTAACAACTTTCAAAAACATATATATGTTGCCAAATAAATATATAGCGTTACATACGTATATATGTATACTAACTGTAGCTGTTCGTTACATGTTTTAAATGTTAATTCAGAGTTATAACGCGTTATTTGAAAAAATAAAAATTTAAAGCTGTAACTTTTTGTGTCAAATTATGAGAGATTCTATAATATTTATGCATGCATAAAAAACATACCATATATGTATGCATTACATACCATTTAATGGATTTATTTAGTTAAATGCAACTTACATTAAAACAAAACTTGGTAAATGGTTTGTTTAGTTAAATATATAAATGTGTTATAAAAGCAAAACATAATAACAACAACAAAAATCAACACAATAACTGTGTGTTAGACAAATAGCTGCAAAGCTTGTATAAGCAAAAATACATGAGAGGCATATTATAAACGTGGCAAGGTAGCGAAGAAGGCAGAAAAAAGTGAAATAAAATTAATTATGGTGTATGAGTACGCCTTTACATTTACACTTTACTAATAATGTAATGGTTTATTAAAAAAAAAACTATGTAAACAAAAATCATATATTAATGCATATTTCTATGTATAAAAAGAAATTATTTTTAAGTAAACTTGGTAAGCTGGCCAAAAATTAGTTAAGCTGAATACACTGATTCTATAAAAAAATGGAAATATATATATATATATACTGCACCAAAACTTAGTTTAGAAAAATATCTAGCGTTCAATAACAACGACATGAGCGCTGTATAAGTTAATTTAAAAAAAACTGACATATTTTACTTATAAGCTTAAATATTATATATAACTGCGTATATGAAAGCTATGCAATAAAAATCATGAATTTCAAGCAGAAAACTATTACTAAAGAACTTAAATGCATGTAAACACATTGACTAACAACAAAAAAAAAAAATAGCGCGCATAAACGCATATTTATAGAAAAAATAAAATCTTGGGGAGTAAACTTTGACTTATTAAAAGTCCTATTGGTTTTATTAAAGTGAACATTACCATTGCGTAATTGTTTGTCGATTTCTTTTTAATAAAACATAAACGTTTACTATAATCATTATTAAATACCAAAAAACAAAAACAACAATTTATTTTATGCTTCAATTAAAATTTATGCCTGCATATAACTAACCCTAATACATGCAAAAGTTTATTTAAACAACCTAACAACATTTATATACACATATATATATAAACTAACATGTATTTTATGCCATTACTAAAAATATATAATAAAAATACAAATGCTTGTATAAATGAAAACATAAATGACATAATAACGTCAAAAAATGCTGAAAAGCAAAGCAGTGTAAGCCAACAACAATAAAGATTACATATAAATGTTAGCAAAACCAAACTCAAATTATAGAAAATCATCTGTAGTGAATTAATAAAAATTATTAGCAAATACTAACAAAATATATAAATTATAATAACAAACAAAAAATTAAAAATTTGATGCCGCGAAGAAAATGATTTATTGTTCTTATATTTAATAACACATAAGAGATGTTTAAGCAACCATTCCTTAAAACCAAATAAAAAACAAAAACACAAATAAGTATTTATTGTAATTACAAAGTAATAAAAAGAATCGAAGCGAGGAAACGTTGCAAAAATACCGAAATTGTAAAAGCTATGGCCACATTAGCGTAGGAAGGGAATGTAAATGACGAAATTGTTCAGCGAGTTGCATAGCAAATAACGGCTGTACAAGAACAACAGCAATTAAAGCTAGGCGCGTGCAAGAAAGTCACAGCAGTTGATAAGAGCAACTACAAAAAAAAAAAAATATTGAAATAAAATACCAACACGCCAAACAAGCTTTGCAGCAAGCAAGAAAAAAAAGCGAGCTCAAAAATAATTGACGAAAAAACAAAAAAACCAAAAGCAAGTCAAAGCAAGCGAACAAAAAATAATTGGCAAAAAATTGAAGTCAAAACCCGAATTCAACGAATAAAAATTAAAGACATTTCGACAAGGACTTTAACCTTATTAGAAAACTTACAAAGGACAATACAAATATATTATGCAGCTAAGTATGTGTGTTAAAGTTTCAAAACACTTTCAAAAATATGCAAAATATCGTAATATAACACGAATAGTGGTTACAAACTACTTAAAAAGTGTTCAAAAATGCATAGTATCACTCGAAAATCATGCAAATAGCACTAAAGCTTAAATTTCAAAACTGTTTCAAAAATATGCACGTCTAAAAACGTGCAAAAAGCGTTCCAAATTGCACTGTGACATCTACAAATCGTGCAAACAGCACTTAAGCTTTAGTTTCAATACTCTTACAAAATTATGCACGTCTAAAAACGTTCAAAAATGCATTGTAGCGTTCGATAATTATACAAAAAAGATTTACGCTTAAGTTTCGAAACTTCTTCAAAATTATGCACGTCTGAAAACGTGTAAAAAGCGTTCAAAAATGCATTGTGTCACTCGAAAATCACACAAAAAGCGCTTAATGCGGTTCAAAATAGTTTGAAACATTTTTAGATGTTTTCAAAAAGTATACAATTGCAATAAGCAGGCATCTAAGCAGTCGAAAACGCAAAGTCGGTGCTCAAAATGTGTTCAAACTGTTTCACGTAAAACTAAAAAACAGCGCAAACAAGTTGGTTTCGAACAAGTTAATTGACAAAATAATGACGCAGTTTTATTTAAAGCAGACACAATTACTGCAAACCACTTCCAAACCTTTTTAAATAATTTCCGAAAACGCTAAAAATATAACTAAAAGTTCGGTAACATTGAAAATTTAACTAAAAATGCTGCTAGTATTGAAAAAACGCGTATGGCGTGCTTAAAACGTGTCAAAACCGTTGCAATATTTTTCAAAAAATTAAAAAACAACTCAGACACAATGATTTCGTAGAAATTAACAATTAAAATTGCTTGATTTCCTACGAATTGCCAGTGAAAATTTTATTTCTAGGCGTCAAAAGCGTTGCGAAAGTTTTTTAAAATCTCAAATCAATTTCAAGCCAAACAGCAACGCAAATTATGCGAGCACTTAAGTTTTTGAAAAAATACTGACTTAGCTTCACTTAAAATACACGCAAACGTATTCGAAACTATATGCATATTTGCAAAAATGTCAAAAGCGCACCAATAACGGACAGTTTATAAAAAAAAACTACGAATGCGCAAATGCATACAAATTAAATATTATTAATGATTACATAATTTTATAAAAATATGTATTTGAAAGTTATTTAATTTTTGTGCATTTGCGTCACGCAAAAAAAACTAAAATTTAAAAAACATCAATGTTTTGTAAACGGCTTAAAATATAATTAAATAATACGCGTATAACCTCACATTTTACTAAAACCACTATAAAACACTCACTTATGTACCATAGCAAATATTTCACTCAAAACACTAGCATGCACTCACTTGTACAATAAGCATTTTGTAACCAAAGCAGATTTTCAAAAAAAAAATAATAATAATGCAAATATTGTTCGAAAGTAGTCTAAATTGCATTTTGGACTTTATTTGAACAGTAATTGTTTATAAAAAAAAAAGCTTTGGTTTGCAAAAGCCAAAATAATTCTAAAAACACAACCCTGCATTTTTTCATATTACAATAGCAACTCATAACACCGCAGTAAAGGGCAATTGTTAGACAAATACAACACTATAAAATTTTAAAATTCTACAATTCTCTGCAACTTTAAAATCTAAACTTTGAATCATTAAAAAGTGCAGCGCACATTACGAAAAAAAAACAATAAATATATATATATGTATTAATTCAATTTATATAGAAATTTGTCAAATTAAGTAGTTGAAACTTGCACCAAAGCGCGCAAACACACACAACAACAACAAAAAAACAACAAAAGCAATAATGAAATTAATTGCATAACTCACAACGATACATTAAATTTCGATTTCATTAATTATGCAACAATAAAAACAACAACAACATGCATAAAAAACGCAGCAATTTCAGTAATTTTCAAACTTAAAATTTGTGTGTAATTCGTTAAGAACAAATAGTTGAAACATTAACCGTACACTGACCACTAAAAAAATCAGGAAATATTAAATGGTAATTTATAAAAAAAATGTAGCGCAATAAAATTTAGTAAATTGAAGTGAAGAACACAAAAAAAACACGAAAATCTTTATGTCACCGCCGTTGAATTGAATAAGAATATTAAAAACAAAAACAAATAATAATAATTAATTAATATGTATTAATGATTAATGTCTGGCATTTAAATTGATGGTGTTCAGCTTGAATGAGAGGCGCCAAGGGTCCGTCAAACTTAAGTGAAACTAAAAAATTGCACGGCAAAGTATTTTACTTTTGAAAATTGTATGAATTGTAATGTTGAAATAAACAACCATAAAAAACCAAAAAAAAAAAAAAAGTGAAAATGTTGAAACATTTGAAGTTTAAGCAGTCGATGTAACAGATGTATAAGAACAACAACAACAAAAAACAGCGTTAAGAAGCGTTAAATGGGTGTGCATTTTAAAGCCGCCCGATAATATTAAATTTGCTTTGAGGGTCACAAATATCGAAATTTCCATCTCAACTATTAATTGTTGATTAGTAAAAAAAAAAACAAAAACAAAAATAATAATGTTTAAGAAAAATAAAGCAAACAATGCATTAAATTTAAATTAAATATATAGCAAAAGTTGAAGCGATAAAGTAAAATTAAAGCAAAAACAAAAAACACAAAATCAAATGTAATAAAATAAAATTCAATTAAATAATTAATTGTTAAGCAAACAACTAAAAAAAAAAACAAGTTTTACTATAATTCAAACACTAATTCTCTTAACAAAAGAAAACTATCAAAATAACTTAAATTTAAACTTTCACTCATCTCAACACACACACACACATACAAACGCTTGACAATTGCCCTTAAAAATGCTAAAAATACAGAAATTTAATAAATTTAAAAAAATATACATATATAAATAGTAAATACAAATCAAACAGCCGTTTATAAACGTTATAAATTACAACAACAAATATGACAGCAGCCGTTTATAAACGTTAAAAATTACAACAACAAATATGATATAAGCTGCCACCTAAAACAAAGTTACGCAAAATTTAAAAAATGATATACAAACAAACGGCAATGTCACGAATTAAAAGAGAAATTTTAAATTGAAGATCAAATTCGAATTTGAAAAAAATATGCATGTTTTCAAAAAAACAAAACAAAAATTGCTAATTTTGAAAAAAAAACAAATTTAAAATAAGTTGCATATTGAAAAACAAATTCGAATTTGAGAAAATTGCAAATTTGAAAAAGAATTGCTAATTTTAAAAACCAATCCAAATTTGAAAAAAGTTGCATATTAAAAAACAAATTCGAATTTGAGAAAATTGCAAATTTGAAAAAAAATTGCTAATTTTAAAAACCAATCCAAATTTGAAACAAGTTGCATATTAAAAACAAATTCGGATTTGAAAAAAAAATTGCAAGTTTTGAACAAAAATTCAAATTTAAAAATTTTGAAAAAAAATCCAAAAATTGAAAAAGTTACTTAAATTTTCAGCAAAAAAATCACTGCAATTCACCGAGTGCGAGAATTAAAAATAAAATGACGAAAGGAAATTATAAAGCATGTACATATATAAGTACCGTTGTGCAGTAGCGCATGCATACATATACATATATGTAATACACTGAAACAATTAAGTATTACGTAGCGTTAATTATGCAAAAATTTCAATTTCCCAAAACATTTAATTGCGTTTACACAATATGAAAAGTTAATAAACAAAAAAACACAAAACAAAACTAAAAAGAAATTTGTTTCAATTTAATTGCATGACAATAAGTTCGCTTGGGCACACACAGCTTGGCGTCAAGCCGGCAACAGCAAAGCAGCATATAAAAGAGTTTGTAACGGTATTATGTTCGCAATTCAGGGTTACAGAATTTCGGACTCACTCGAAAAACCTAATTTATTTTTTGTAATTCACTCGAAATAAAAAGCTTTCAAATCGTAAGAACTCGGCTGGCGAATTTCGAATATCGAAAAAATTATATTTTTTTCAGAAAAAACACATACCTCGAAATAATATAATAGAAGTTCTAGTAAAAGGAAAAAAATACTTTCTGCATTAAATTCAAATTCAAGGTTTTATTTAGCGTAGTTGAATTTATGTGAAATATGCACCATTTTGTGCGATAATTTGTTGGCATTTTGAAGGTAATTTTATAATGCCACTCTCATAGAAACCCTCGTCGCTATTGGCAAAAACATCTGACAGTCCATTTTCTCTCTTCTTTTCTTGATGCGAATTTTTTCATTTTCTCTAAATGAGGCATATTCAATATATTAACCGCAAAGTAATATATAAAGCGTGCAATCCAATTCAAACCGGCTTTGATTCTCTGTCAAGTGCCTGAAATCAGATGAGTCCATAAAAGGGAATTCCCTTGATAAATTAGCAATTTGTAAAGTGTCATTTGAAATCATCACAGTTGTAAAACTGTTCTAACCAGCTTGTTGGTTTCTTCCTCATACTTACTTGATACGGGGACAATTCGATAAGAACATCATTATAGTTCTTGAGAAAATCTAATGTTAATACAGAATAAATTCTGAGCTTTCAAAATAAGTAACCATTGCGAATCTTTTTATTATAAAAATAAAGCACGATGAGTTTATACATATACTTCCATTTATATATATATGTATATATATACTATATTTGCACACAATTAAAACCTGAGCTTCAAAAAGTTACTGATTTATCACACAGCCCTCGCATAAAACATGTTTACCCACAGATTGTATGTGTGAGTAATTTTTCGGAAATTCCATGAAAAACACAATTAGTTCTACTGCAATTCTCATGCCGTAAGAGTAAATACCATTTTTTGAGAAAAAGTAGAACCGAAAAGAGATAATAATTTTTTTAAGACGCACTCTTTGAAAATTTTACTCACTACTTAACTAAATTTTTTACTGAATTTATTATAGTCGGACGTATATTTAGTTTCGATTCGAAGGCTCCTTAGTAAATCACATACCACAGTTGGACAACTAAAGTAAAATACTTTGTGAGTTCAAAACAAAAATACTGAAATTGGATCTAAACGCTTGTGTCGACAAAGCGCCTTGAACCATAACACAAATCTGCTTAGTCGTTTGATTTCCATAGCAGCTATAGCACCAGGCTGGCTAAAGTCTACGATCCCGCGGGTTATATAAACTTGGTTTTCTAAGACCAATTCAAGTATGTATATAGAAACTCAAAAAAGCCTGACGGATTTCTATTTCAAGTTAGTCAGTTAACCTATAAACGTACATGGAATTAACAATCCCTTTCGTGAAAGAAAAAATTGCGGGTATAACCATATTGTAGTGTAGTGAATCAAAATTGCTCCTAAATTATTTGAGGATTTTTACACAAAAACTTAGCCGTAATAGCTTAGCAATATTAAACTGTATGCCAAAAAAAACCTATATGTATATTTAATACTACCGAGATAGAATGTGTTAATGGAGACACAATTTTAATTGATATTTTTCCTTCATAAAACCCAAATATATTTCCAGTTAACAATTATTAGTCTACTTATAGGTTATAGATCACAAAATTGCATAACCCTATAGTCTAAAAATATTTAATTGAAACTCAAAAAATGTTTGAAAAAGCTTATTATTTTTTTATAAATTTGAAAATGTTTAGAAATTCTGGACAATATCAAATAACCAGATTTTTATTACTTCTTTTCAATTGGAATCCTCACAACATTAAATTTAAAAAATTATCGGAAACGAAAGATAAAATAACAAACAGTTAAGGAAAAATAATTTACGTTAATTTGCGATCTGATGTCGGGAAAAGGAACAGATGGGATGTATTTGAATTTTTAGGGTTAAATCCGGCTTATCTCTATTTCCGACAAAACTACCAGTCCTATAAAAAAAAAGTTATACTTGTATGGCAATGTTGTAGGTAATGAAAATATCTTTATCTTTGTCTGTAGACTTTTTCACATAACCGCAAAATGTATCTGAAAACTTCAAATACCGAAGTTTTTGAGTTTTTTATTTTTTTCTTGTACAAACTTTTTTTTTTCTTTTACGTAAAAGAAAATTTTTTTAAATTTAAAATATTAAAGAGAAAATCGTATTTCGACTTAAAATCTATCGTTTTCGATGAGTTTAATCCTACTACGATTTTTTTGTTTTCAAAAATTATCTTCCCTGGTCTAATAGACAACTTTTTACATCTTTGAAAAATATTGTTTTTTGCATGCTTTGAGAATGTTATAAATTATTTCGACCTTCGAACCGCATAATATAGATACATAGATTCTGGAGATATGTAAGTCTTCGTAGAGTTAGTAAAGCAAAGTTCTAAAAATCAGCCAACAGTAATTTGCATTATGAAAGTTTTAGTATATAAAATTATGCATTGAATTAAGTGAGCAGTTGTGGCTATTGTTTATAAACAATAAATTTACAAACTTTGTTGAGAACAAAGAGAAATGCAAATCGAAAGCGCGACCAATCTATCAATGAGTGGCGTCACGTTATTGTTCTTATTTTTGTACACATACAGTGTGTTATTTAAAAAAAAATTTTCCTTTTTGGAACAATATGTCTTTGTAACCATATTCATGCGTTTTTTTTTTCAAAAATTAAACGTTTTCAAAAGAAAAAAGTATTATTCAAATTATTGCCGATTTGAAGCTATAACATTTTCTCATATGTCTGTCAGTTTGTGGATTCCATGCCAAAAGAAAGGCGCCGGCTTGGCAGCGAAGAATGGATAAAGTCATGATACCTCGTTCTGATGTGAACCGTATACCAGTAAGTGCGTTTTGAATCTACCGGAACAAATGGTAGTCAGAAGGGCCAAGGCCTGAACTATAAAGCAGGCGCGGCAAAACTTCCCAGCTATCGTTTACCAAATAGTTTTAACCAGTCTTGCAACATGAGGCCAAGCGTTAACATGATGAAAAATTATTGCCTCCTGTCTGGTGTTAAATTACGGGGTTTTCCGGCAATCGTCGGTTTCATTTTGATTAATTTTTGTCGATAGCTTCTCCATTAATGATTTTACCCGGTTTTAGGGCGCATAATACAACCGCTCCCAGCAAATGTAGAGGATTACCTTGACATCAGAGATATTGTTTTGTGTGGTTGACCAGGTCACACATATTATTTTTTGCTTTTAGGGTTGTCGTGATAGATCCATTTTTCATCACCAGTCACAATTTAATGCAAAAACAACTTCGTTTTGTAGCGTTCAAGCAGCATTTCTGACATGCGAAATCGTCTTTCAACGTATATGGGCTTCAATTGCTATAGCACACGATTTCCTTACTTGTAAACGTTTTGAAATGGTTCCCAAAGATGCGATTCTGCGAGCTCTTGTGTTTGGCAACAATCTTTACCGGGTAATGATTCTAGTTTCTTAGCTTCAAATCATTTTGACCGCCCAGCACGTTCCTCTCCTTCCAAGCCAAAATTACCACTTTTAAATCATTCAAACCATTTTTGACACGTTCGCTGACTTAGAGTATGTTCACCATACAATTTCACTAAATATGATGACTTTCGGCTGAGATTTTCTTTATATTAAATTATTAAAGAAGAACTAACCTCAAAAACACTTTTTCAGCCAGAAAGTTCGACATACTTGAGTGCAAAAAAAATATTGTTGTTTATGCTTTAAATGAATGACATTTACTGCAAAAGATGCACAAGGACAATAGCTTTTCAACGTATGTCGGGTATCTTGGAACAATGGAATAAAAATGCCGTTACGCCATAAATTTTCATTGTACAATACTATATTAGCATTGATTTACTAAATATCAAAAATATTAAGAAAAAAAATTATTTTGCTTCCCCAAAAATTATCACCAGAATTGTGTGTAGTGACATTTTTGACCAGTCACAACCCACTATGTGTCGACTAGACCGGCTTGAGAGCATCTTTAATGCAGGCATTGACGCTTCAAACGCTGCTCTTTCGCGAATTTTATTTCAGTTTATAAACGTTACTCGTAGTCACTGGTTTAGAACTGGTACTGTGTTCCGCTATATATTTAATTAACAGATGCTCGCAAATCATTAAGTTAGTCTACATAAATATCGCTAAATTAACACATACATATGTACATAGATACTTATATTCATACATGCATATGCATGTGAGTTGAGTGCATGCCGCGATTGTCGCTTTGTGAACAAGCGTTCAGTGATCTTGAAAATACAAATCTATATGTAAAATATACATACAAAATATATACTATATTTTGAAACGAACGCTGTGTAAACAAATCTACAAACTTACATGTTTAGTAGAGTTATCTACGAAAACAGCTAAAAAATTTAGCTTCACAAGCAGAAATAAAAATAATATAAATACATTTTAAACAAGCTACGATTAATCCGTAGTCCGGTTTTCGTGTTGGGTCTGTGTAGATTTGATATTTCTGAAAAATACACACACACACAAACATTAATATTTATTTGTGATATACATGCATATATACATATATACCATATATACCGCGATCTATATGCATACATAAATTAATCTTCGTTTTGATATTAAAAGTGCTTTACTTTGTAATGCTGGGGGAATAACTTTTTAATTTTCACTATTATTACAGATAAATTTGAAAAAAAAATCATTAATTTGCTTGAACTGATCATATTATTTTGTAGAAAACAACAAGTGCAAAATTTACACGCGCTTTAAACAACACTCATCAAACTTTCAAATACTCGTGCGACAGTATTAATACTGTCTGACAAATAACGTCACTATGCTATTACGTAAAGGTGAGTCTCGTTTTGTTTTTACTGTTTTAATGCAATAATTTATGCATAAACAAAAGCTAAATTATTAAAATATAAGCCACATAGCTTCTAAACCAGAAACAAAATTGCAGAGTAATAGTAGTTTTGAGCCGATTGTCTGTTCTATTCAACCAAATGTTTGCCTTTATGCAGCAATTAGATGCTTCTACGTAAGTTGTAAGCTCACTTCATAATTCTGTTGGAACTCACAGTAAGAATGCCAAAAATAAACTTGATGATTTGACACTGGCTTTTTCGATGAAAACACAAGCCCAGTTGTTAGTAAGGCAGCAAACCGCACTCGCTAGTTATATGAGACTTAACAAAAAAGTTTGGAAACAAAACTAACACTAAACTCTAACTAAGCGTGAGTATATTTATTTACACAACTTTGAAACGTGATATATGGACGACCTAAATTCGAACCCAACCCAATAATTAAAAGTAGTCAATTCTAGGCAATTATTGGCCTGGAAAATTTTCGACATGAAAAAGCTACCATTGGCCGGTCCAAGTTGGCTTAAAACTCCCAAAGATACACCACAAATAGAAAACGAAGCTTAGCAATCAAAACAAAGAAAAATATCAAATCATAAATATAACACTTTATCATCTAAAAAATTATACCTATATGTATAAATATACCATATTTTAACAGTGAAGCCAAGTTTTGCTCACATTAGATATGGCTTTAATCAAAGATTCTCAGCACCGTTTAGTCAAACATCAATCGCAATAGATTTTGCTATGATAGTCATTGGAGCGAATTACGCTTAACTTAATTACGAACTAGCATCAATTAGTTGGCTCTGACCGAAAAAACCCCGATCGTTTGCCTAACTGAAAGCCACTATACTGACAATCAGAGAACTGCATTTGGGATGTTGGCGATGGAAGACTTTTAATGTGTATTTACAAAAGAGGAATACATTTCTAAGCTAAGTAATAGTAAAACGGTCTAAGTGATCTGACTAAAGTCAGACTAATAAAAAGCAATTAATTGATGACTCTGTAATGTTTGAAAACAGGCGTGCGATAGATTATACTGACTTCATTTTATTATGGCTTGGATGTAGCATATTTCTATAAATTCAAATTGTAATATTTGCATTCTTAAACAGCTCCGTATATAGTCTATATTATGGTACCGAGATGCCCACTATACTATGCTTGAGTTCTAAGCTTTAATATGTTGGATCCTCGTTGAAAGATGAACTGATTACTCACTGCATTAATAAGATATTAACAGTATATCAGTTGTTTCGACGCATTTCTGAATAATACACGTGATAAATTTAAAATCAATAAATGAGAGCAGTGTTCTGCTAATACTAAGTTGGTTAGCTCATTTGACTCTAAATATACTACACTACCATCAACGGAAACCCCCGACCACTTTTTACGTACATATACACACATATTTGTCTCATCTGACAACAGAAATGTGAATTTTTTTGTACCGCGTTGTTTTTGTTGTTGTAGCAGTTAGCTAGACTCTGTTTGGGTGCCAAGACGCAAGGCAGTTGGCATCGAAATCATTTAACGGGTGGCCCAGGAAACGTGCTGTATCGACGAGGTCGGACCGTAGGGAGAGGGGAGGGTATTAGATGAGTGGAATTCATTGCAACATGCAAAGATATGGTTAGATTTGGTATCTTGGAGTCGATTCTGGATAGGTATGAGTTTAAGAACGCATTGTGCAAAGTGCAATCTAGATTCGCAAGGCAACTCGAGTTCTTTGTCTACAAAGGGTAGTGGTTTGACTTCAAGTACGCCATTACCTGGGAGGAAGTCTGTAAAAGTGTGTGTTGTGAAAGTGTTAATAGCTGCACTATTAATGGTGTTCAGTGCATGCCTGGTCGCTAAGTATTACCATGTCGTCGACGTAATTAAGGAATGATTTCATGTTGCTTCTATGAAATGATTCTGATACAAGCAGATGACTGCAAGGGTGATTTTTACGAAAGCATTTTGTAGCCTGTGCCTGTGACTCTACCTTCCTTAAATCAGCTCTTCCGAAGCCATTTTTGCAAACCAACTGATGTTTGAACGACGGTGTCTTAGACAGACATATAGAAATATTTAATGTGTACTCATACTGTGCTCAATACTAAAGCGTTATGGCAGCTTTGTTATAACGGTTACCTGAGCCCTGTCTATGAGTTTGAAAGTTTCAATCTAAAGGGAGTTTCAGAGCTGCCTCGACCAGCTTGGTTTAATGGTTAAAGAGAAGAGCCTTCTTTGTGTTATATACGATTTTGTAGATTAATAATTTATTTTAAAACTTACGTTACCGTTATACCATAAACTTAAATCTTTTATTTATAATTGTTTCTTATGCTTTCAGCGTTCTTCGCATTTCTACCGCTCAACTTATGCATCTTAATACACTTAACTACCAGCGAATTTTGCACCAAATTAGAGAATACAAGTACGGTGCTACAGGCAAATCGAGCACAGTTCCTCAGCATTGCGGACGGTGCAGAGAAATTCGGTTTGGAGCTTTTTACTTTGATTTCCACAGATGCGACCGATAATGATTTTGTCATTTCACCATTTTCCGTATGGGCGCTATTATTACTGCTTGTGGAGGCCGCATCAGAGAATACATTGGTCGAGCTAAATACAGCGCTGCGCATAAATCAGGATCGTCAAGCGTTACGTCAAGCATTTAATGTGGTGCAGCAATTTTTGTTGTGAGTTGGAATTATTGTTTATATACCTTGAATAGGCTAAATTAAGTTTGCAACCAAGTTAGTGACACCCAAAAGGAAGCGTCGGAGACCCTATAATGTATATATGTATAAAATATCAGCGTGATGAGCTGAGGCGATTTAGCCATCTTCGTCTGCCTGTGTGTATATGTCCATTTTTGAAATATCAATCCGAAATTTTGCACACGTGCTTTTCTCCTTAAGAAGCAGCACATCTGTCGGAACCGCCGATATTGAATCACTATAACATATATCTGCCATACAAACTAAACGATCCACATCAAGTTCTTCTATGGAAAACTGTCTTATTTGACGAGATATTTTTACGAAATTTGGCATATATTATTATCTAAGACAGCGCTATAATCTTCGAAGAAACTTTTCAGATTGAACTACTATAGTATATAGCTGCCATACAAACTGTTCGATCAAAATTAATTTTTTGTACGGGAAACTTTTTAGTTAAGAAGATATCTTCACGATTTGCCATAGTTTTTTATCCATGGTAACGGTACAATCTCCAAAGAAATTATTCAAATTGGACCACTATAGCTGCCATACAGAATGTATGAACAAAATCAAGTTCTTGTATGCAATTATTTATTTGAGAAAAAATTTATTTTGAAAGGGTATTATAGCTTACATGCAACCGAAGTTAACAGTTTGCTTGTTTGGTTTTTGTTTTTTTGTAATTATCTACAATATATATATTTTTTTTACTGTTTGCTGTTTATAAAGAATTTTTATTAGAAAAAAAATTTATTTCATTAATATATGTACATTTATATAGGCACAAAACATCGACGATACAAGTCGAAAATTTACAAGCAATGTACTATGACACCTATGAAAAGGTCAGTCCAGACTATATTAGAACACTAACCACTTGTTACAATGCAAAGGCGCAAAACTTAAATTTCAACGATACTAAAATAGCGGTAAATTTCATTAACAACGCCATAAAAACGGAAACCAAGGGTCTAATAAGTGATGCCATCACCGCTGATGACGTGAAAAATGCAAGACTATTACTAACGTCCACCCTGTATTTTAAAGGACAATGGCAGGTGTGTAAATATGTCATTTTCATATATACAGATGCATGTTGAATTTTTATATTATTTTTTATAAATTATGCTTTGGCAGTTTCCTTTCAACAGAAGCGATACACGCAGAGAGATCTTCTACGATATGAATGGCAAGCCGGTTGGTGAGGTTGAGATGATGTTCCAAATGACACCATTCAACTACACTAGAATACAGGATTTGCAGGCGCACGTACTCGAACTGCCATACGGCAATGAAAATCGTTTGTGTATGCTGGCTATACTGCCAAATAAAGGTGATACTGCCAATTTGTGAATGCATTAATTTATAATTGAAGCAAATTTGCAAATATTTTTGTATATTTTATAGGCATCTCAGTCAATCAAGTGGCGCAGAATTTGCGGAAATTTGGTGTGCGTCCAATATTCAATAAAATTGAAGAGGACGCTTTAAATTACGGCGAACAGGATGTTGAGGTGTATTTGCCACGTTTGGAGACAACATCGACATTATCGCTAAGAGGCACACTGGAAGCGGTATGTATAGAGTTTGTTGTTGTTAACGCTTGAGCAGCAGTTTAAAGCATTTTTTTAATTTTTTACTCTCTAGATGGGCATAAAGAGTATTTTCGATCCGCAGACTGTAAATTTACTCTCGCAAACCTCGTTCGTGAAGGACGTCATACAAAGCACTAAAATAATTGTGAACGAAGAGGGCACCGAAGCGGCCGCAGTCGTTGCGGCAATTTTGACTAATAAAATTTCGCCACCGAAATTCTACTTTAATCGCCCATTCATGTATTTGATTGCGGAAAAGCGCTCTAATACATTATTATTTGCCGGCCAACTGTCGACACCGAAATTATCGTAAACAAAATTAAAAGTACTATATAAAATTATAGTTTATTTTTTAATTTTTTTTTTTACCTAATTAATGAAATGTAAAAAGATTTAAAAACTTAAATGTTATTTTTTCGGACGTCCCGCTGCCTTCTTGCCGCCCACTGGTTGCTTATCCTTATTTGTTTTACTTGATATTAATGGATGCGTTTCTTAAGGATTAAAAGAAGGCATGATTTTAGCTAATTTCGTTGCCTACACAACAATGTTAGAGTTCACTTACCATCGACTGGCGCATCTGGCAGGCTGATGTCATAATTGTTGACTTTACGCTTTTTCGTCGTTACCGTGTCCTCATAGTCTTGCGGCGCGTTCTCACTTTCTTTAGTGAGTGTCGTGTCCACACCATCTTGCATCGTCCAGCCATCTTCGGGATCTTCGACTTCTGGCGCCATCGGCAGAAATTGTAATGCATTTTCGTCCTCACCCTCTTCATCGGATGAGCAAAATGCTGCCACTGGTTCCACTTTTAACACGTCCACTTCGATTTCTTCATCCTGCTTTGCATCCGCATTTAAATCAACCGATTTATCTTCATCCGTAATATCGAATTCAGATTCGCGTTCTTCATATTCGACATTCTCATCGAGCTCTTTGAAATCGGGCGCAAATGCTGACCAATTTTCCACTTGATTTTGTGCCCAAATCGAAACGAGCCCCGAACTGATGCTAGCTATAATGGGACGCACTGGATGCCACACAACATCGAGCAGCAATTCACCTTTGGTGCCGTGAAGAATTTTCACCAAATTCCCTATCGACTTTTCCCATATATAAAGTGCATGTTGGCGTGCACTACCGGCACATATATATTCACCATCGCCGGAGAAGCAACATTTTTTCCAGGTTGTTCTGCAAAGAAGTTGAGCATTAACATTTTACATTGCTGATGCAGACTTTCATATATATTTATATAGGGTATATTAAGTTTACCATACTCAGAAGAACTGAACTTGTCCTTCAGTTTTTGAGATATAGGTATACAGTTTTGCACACTTTTTATATTTCTTTCTAAGAAGCTACTCATTTGTACGAACCGCCGATAAACGATCAAGGACAAGTTCTTGTATGGAAAACTTTTCTATTTAACGAGATATCTCCACGAAATTTGGCATAGATTATTGTCTAAAGCAACGCTACAATTTTCAAACAAATTTTTCAGATCGGACTTCTATAGCTTTTAGCTGCCATACAAACTGACCGATCAAAATTTAGTTCTTGTATAGAAACTTTTATATTTGTTTGCAACCGAAGTTAACGTTTTTTCTTGTTGTATTTACATTTTTAGAAACAGGCAAAAAATGGCATCAAACATTTAGTAGAACATTTTTAAAATTTAACGCTGAGTATTCTTGCAACAATACAGTTTCCAATTTAACTCAACTCACTTGTTCACTAAATCTTGAAGCTTTTGTATTGGCTCAGGCTCACCATCCTTCCCCAGCGCTATAATCTCCTTTGAGTCGTAAACACGTATGACGCGATCGGAGGTATTTATTAAAAAAGCGCTAAAATATACAGAGATGATTTAAATAACGTTTTTAAGAATATTTTAATAGCAAACCTCTAACCACAGATACTTTGAGGTGATTAAGGATAGTGTAATCAAAATTTAGCTACTTACTCGCCTCTACGCGCAAACTCTATGCTTTTTACAGCCGTCGCACTTGAAGAACCAACAATAATACGAAAACTCGCCACAATTTCTAATGTTTCTGCATTTAAGACTAGTATTTTGCCCTTTGCATTGCCTGTATAAATATGTTTACCGCGTCGATCAAAGGAAGCCACAATATTTAAATCGCCCTGTTGCGGAATATTTACTGTTATGCATTATAATTAACTATAATTCGAACAACTTACATCTGAGTCCAAAGGTAGACATTTGTGCGTGTCACCAATTCGCACTAGCACGGCAGCATAACGCATTGGACAAACAAGGAAACGTTTGTCATTGCGTGGATCAAACTGCACTTTCAGTACTGGCGAGGGAAAACGATATTTATGCTCACAGTCGCCGGTGAGTACATCCCATATACAAACGTTGTTGTCTGTTGAAGCGGACAGCAGCTAAAACAAAAAATTAAGCTCATTTTATAAATAATTAATTTCAATTGCTTATTGTTTACCTTATGTCCATTACGCGTCCAACTTAAACTGCACACTGGATGCACATGAGCTGAGATAATTTTTGCAATTCCACGCGTTAAGAAATCCCACACAACAATGCGCCCATCGTTGCAGCCAACGGCCAATAAAGTACCATATTTATTGAAAGCACAAGTTACAGCAAGTGATATGCAATCCAGTGAGCCATCGAATTCTTCGGGATAATTTTGGCCAAAAGATTCTGCAGAAGAAATGATGTGATATTAACAAGGATATAATGGCAATGACATAAACTTGCCTAATAATTCTAAATTCATGCTGAAAAACAATATTTGAGTATTTATTGGATAATTGTCCGTTGACTTCTTGGAGTAAACTCAAAACTCTTAAACAATTATGTGAAATTAAATTGTCATAATATCTTTAGTTTTCCCTTAACTTATATTTTTAAATACGTGCTCTAATAAAATAATTTCATTCAATAAATTATGTAAATTGCAAAATGAATAATTATTTTAAAACAAATTAGACGCCGCTTAATCTTATCAACAAATAACTAAACAGCTGTTTTTGTATCGTTTGTCAAAAGTAGGGGAAAATATTAGTGAAGAGCAAAAGTTTATGTTTTCTATTATCGACTTAAGTCTTTGACTGAAAACTGTAGTATTATTAAACTTGATTTATATAATTTATAATTTATGTATGCGAGATAAATGGCTGCTTTAACATAACGGAAGTTAATATAAAAAATATTCATTACAATAATATATACAAATTGAGGACATAAAATATAGGTACTAAAAATTTCATGGTATAAATAATTAATTACACTCATTATTTTAACATGAAAATTTATTATAAATAATTACTGCAATATGAAATATACTACATTGCATGTTAATAACATACCATAATCTATTACTAAGCTCATATACATACACTCATGGAAATTATGTACAATCATCACGGATGCCATTTTATGCATAGTGTTTTGAGAGAACTTAGTAGTAACGTACCAAAACGGTGTTTATATTTAAAAAAAAATGTGCTAACTGAATGTTATAATTATTGTTTTATATTGTTGTGGGGAAATTGCCTAATTAAATCATCGACACCAATATATGTAAGTAATATTTGTATTTCGTAAGAGTTTCCAAATCCAATACCTCTTTATTTGTTAATTTTTTTTTACGTACTATTAACATAGTACTAAAATAGCAAAAATGACGTAATCGTACCATAACAATCTATTACAATACACAAAGTTCGTGCAGAGTACAATTCGAACAATACGTACTATTTCGAGCTCATTTCAACACGAACCAGCTAACGGAAAGGCAGCATTTGACGTTTTGTCATCGTCATCGGTATCGTCAGCTGAATAGCAAAAAAAAAAAGGTGCAGTGCTGACAGTATTATACGTCAATCACAATACAACCCTGTCCTTTCTCCTGCGAAAATTGCACATGGCTTGAAGTCTACGCAAGTGCACGACTCCATTTCATGACAATTTCTTGCATTTCAAGTGTTTATTTTTAATAGATTTTTATGTGGAAACGTACATAAAACGGTATTGAACGCAAGTAAGTAAAAATTCGGTGTTAAACGTTTGAGGAGAATATAGAAAAAGTGTGTAGAAAAATAACGTTATAAAATCATTGTGTTTTTGTGTATGTGTAGAAATGTGTACGTGTGCGCGCTAAAATACGAGGAAAAGAGTGCGCGAAAAGCACGGCAGCTTTCATTTAGTAGTATTTCCAAAAAGTAAGTGTACGTCATCAAAGTTTACTGTTTGACCAGACGTTGAGTGAACGTTCGAGGTGGAGATATATGTATGTAATTAGATACAATTCTCACAAAGTGTGAGAGTAGTAAACAGTGTTGCTGTTGTGGAATTTTAACATTTTTGGTAATATGAATGTATATAGTGCGCGGTATTTTCCGTTCTTAATTGTAAATAAGTGTAATAGTACCAAATACTGAAAAAAATAGAACGAAATAGTTACACGGTTTCGCATTTTGCCATAATGCATATTCAACGTTTAATAAGATATCAATTAAAATAGTCATGAAAATTGTAAACAGAAAAAACATGACAAATATTAATTTAATATTAAAATCCAATAAGAATTTTTTCAAAAATTTAAAATTGTACAGTTTTGAGTATAGTGAGAAACTGTACTTTTGCTATAATTGTACGTTATCTGAATGGTACGATGATCTTTCCAAAAATACATGAGGCCTACCAGATAGTCATCGTACAATAGTACGACAGCGAGGTCAACGAGAAAACAGTACTTTTTGTTATACAAACGAGTACGAATGCAGTAGTCGTTCATTTTGTTGCAAATTTACCTGCAAGGCGATCAATGCTAGGAGGAAATGTGAATAGGTGTGAATGCAACAGTGTAAAAATCCAAGTGGTATAAATGAAAACGAAAATTTCTCTTTTGTTGTCAAGTGTTGGTAGCGAAACATTATAAGTAGAAAACAGTGCGACAGTCAGGCTGGCAGATAGACGGTGGAAAAGACGTATCTCACGTTTTTTTTTAATTTGTGGTCGGTTGTCCCTCAGTTTGTGTGATTAATGGCTGCCGTAGACTAGGTGAATTAAAATTTCTAGCAAAAAATTGCACACAACAAGAAAAGACAATTGTTTTATACTAAGCTTAAAAACGTAAAAAATATAATATGTAATATCTAATTTTTCGACTACTGCATGTGTGTGTGTGAGAAAATGTGCGAGAGTAACAAAAACCATGAAAGTCAATAGAATATGCGAAAAAGGGAACAGAAGGGAAGAACGGTGTAAGCAACAGAACAGACAAAAGAAAATTGCCACGAAGTGGATGCGAGTGACAACGAACATATCAAAATTATTGAATTGGATTTGTTTGAATAAAAAGTAATGAAACTGCAAAAGTGAGCAATTAATCGAAAGCGATACGATAATAGTGAAAGTTTGAAGAAATAAACACAAATAATTGTATAAAGAAAAATTGAATTAAAATTTTTCTAAAAAATAAAAAAAAAATCACAGAGAAAACCCAACCTTGTTTCGTTTCGTTCCAATTGCAAAAAACGCAGTACACGTTTATTGTGCGCTCTCTTGACATTTCAGAGAACGCTGTTTTTGAATTGTGAAAAGAAAAGGGGTAACAAATAATACAAAAGGGAGGAAAACCTTTGGGACTTACAAGGAAAATTTTAGTAGTAAAAGTGAATAATTGTGCTATTTTTTCTTGTTTTAATGATAAGAAAACTTAAGTAAAGTCAATGTTTAAATTATTTGACGTTTTTTTTTTTTGTCTTTCCGAAAACTTTTAAAATATGTTAATAATTGTGTTGATATAAATTTTTTTTTCTGTTTGCATTTTACAGAGTATTCTCATCGAGGAAGGTGCAACGTTGAAGTTGAAATAAAGGCCACTTACAAAGTAAAACTGAATATATAGTACATATATATATTACCAACGCATTCATAACCCCCGAGAAAAGGCCAAAACAACTTTCGTTTGATAACACGAAAATTTCCATTAGAAACTCGCCGTAAAAAATTAACACTTGAAGTCTAGTGTGCAGCAAGAGCAATTAAGAAATTGTAGTATCAAAGTAAAGTCATCAAAAAGTCAGTGTAAATAAACCACATAACAACCAAAATGTCTGGTGAGGAAACGTCCGCTGATCGCAATGTCGAAATTTGGAAAATCAAGAAGCTCATAAAGAGTTTGGAAATGGCACGCGGGTAAGTGATTTAGACGTTCAATCACAAATTCGAATACAATTTTTTAGAATGTATAGTATCGCACGAATTAGTTGAAAATAGTTTCTGTTTAATATGCTGGAATTTGTTTGAAAAGAAGAATTATACTTTTATTTTTTGAGACTTTTCTTGTTAAATAAATTTCTAATTTGTACATGTCACCCATTGTAATACCATCTATAAGTAACATTGTTTATGTGCAACTTGTGCTGTTATATTTTTCGTTCCACTTTAAAACAACCACTGTTTACATTGGAGCTACAAGCACATTTTGCCACCCACTCAACACTAATACTCTGTATATATACCCCCCTACGCTTACAAATGCTACTTTGTAGCAGCATCATAAGCTTAACTGACTGGCTGGCATTGGCAGCTGTTGTGTGGCGCCCTCATTTTACTAAATCAGCTACATATCTGCTACTCGTTTTTTTCAGTTGTGGAGTTAGAGGGTGGTTATTTGTTTTGCAATACGCTTCTATAGAGTTTGACTCATTATAGCGAAGAAAACTCCTTTATTACTCCTCTTTTCCTTCTCGTTTGCGGCATGCATTGGATCCCTTGCCTTCTTACTTGCTCCACTGAGTGTATTTGTCCCTAATTGCCATACTTGTGCAATGCATGCTCAAACAATCGTGCGTGCTGCACACGATGCACCAACAATGGTAATATAATAATAAATAGAAAGAAAAATGTATGCATTATTTTGTGTTAATTTTTATGTACATACTACATTGCAATTTTATGGCATACCATGCTTAATTATTATAACAACCAAGGCTGGGTTTCAACTTTTAACTATTTGAATTGTGTTGTGATATTACATATTTATTATTATTGATTTATTTTGATATAAGGTTTGTGAATTAAAGCAGCTGTTAGTTATATTTCGAAGAAAGTTGTATATTTCCATTGCTTGGCAAATGTTTTAGGAATATATATTTTAATTTTCAGCGGGTTACAATATGAAATAAAAATGTATTTTACTCGTTCATATTCATTTATAATAACCAAATTAGTTAATTTCAAGCTATATAAGTAAATGATCCAAAAAGTAAATTAATTTATAAAGTATATAAATATGTTTGCTCATATCTATATAATTGATAGACTTACGTAGCTTTCTACTCATTTCGTTTAATATGCTTTCTGCGTGTTCAAGGTATATGTGCATGCATTCATTGGATTATATGTATGTACATATATTTGTTGTTTATTTTATTTACATGCAATCGTGTGCAGCACATAAAATTGAATTCAAATCTATTTGTTTTGCAATATTACTTTTGTGACACCATTTTTTATTTATGTTTGTTATATCGTTGTTTGTTTTATTTGTTGTACCTTAATTTGTTGATTGTACAGGGTATATAAAGTTTGCCATGTAGTTTGTAACACCCAGAAGGAAACGGCGGAGACCCTATAAAATATATGTATACATATACAAATGATCATCCGAACTCAAGGCTTAAAACCAAGTTCTTGCATGAAAATTTTTTTTGATAAAATATATTTCCGAAATTTTGAACCATTTTAGCATAAAGCTGCCATACAAACTGACCGATTGAAATTCAGTTCTTGTAACATATGGTAATTTTTTATTTTATTTCTGAAAGCTATTATAGCTTCGCTGCAACCGAATTATTATTTTTTCTTGTTTAGTTTCAATAATATAGTTTTGTTCAAAGGAGAGTACTATTAAATGATATTCATATATGTTAATTATAAGTTTTATTCGATTTTTCTATAATGATCTGAATTTGCATATAAACTAATATAAGCACATGTGTATATGTCTTGATTAAATTTGCCCAATTATGCACTGCTGCATACGCCATCATCTACAATCAGCTAAAAGGAAGTGAGTGTAAAAGCAAAGCAAATGTCTTGGCGTTGCTGATTCATCAGGCATCAGCTGGTTAGGTGGGAAGTAGAGTATACAAGTATTAGCGCGTGTCTTTGTTTGTTACATTTTTTTTCATCATTTTCATTTCATTATCGTTTATTAAAGATTAGCTTTTCTAATAATTGTGTGAAAGTTAGATATGAAAAAACGGAAACAATAAAAATTAAATAAAATAATTTAAGGTCATATGAATTAATTTTGATGATTGGAAGCGGGTTTAATAATATTTAAAAAAAATTTATTTGGCTGTATTTTTTAATTTTTACTATATATATTTTTTTATTTTACTATATTTTTTTATGTTACTATATTTTTAGTCTATTTCAATTCGAGAAAGTTACATTTCTTTTGTTTATATAAATATTATATATGTATATTATTTTATATAGTTTTTTTTATTCTACTATATTTTTAATTCGAATTCTTTTTTTTTTGTTTTTTGTTTATATAAATATTTTACATACCATATATGTATGCATGTACATGTATTATTTTATATTATACATTTTATTTTATTGATTTATATTATATATTTAATTTAATTTTTTTTTTATTATACATTTTATTTAATTTTTTTTTTATATTATAAATGTTTTTTAATTTTTTTGTTTTTTATTTATGTTATACATTTTATTTTTATTATTTTTGTATTCATATTTATTTTCATATCAATAATGACAAATTTGGTTTCATTCATCTCTTAGCCTTTGTCGGTCCGTTACTCTCCAATTTACATTTTCCAATTTTTTGTTTATTTTCCTTATATATTTTTGATTACTTTACATTCCTTTTTACGTTTTTCGCACTATCTTGCAAAGTTTTCAGCCAACAACGGTAGCAGCAGTAACAGCATTACCAAATTACTTGTTTTTATTGTTGTAGCAACTGCTTGCCAAAGCTGTCAGCAGCGAACTAATGTTTTCTGCTTTGCGTCGGTTTGAACTGGACTTTGTTGGCTGCGACTGGTGACAGCAAGCGTGCAGCAGTTAACTTTGCAGCTCGCAATTTTTGCACCACACACCTTTTTGCAAAGCCACAACAAACATAAGTATATGTTTGATAACGTATTTTTATTTTTGCAGAACCGTTTGTGAGTATGCTTTGAAGTTGCAGCAGCTCTAATGCTGCAACTTACACTGCGGCTCACCAGTAAACATCATTGCTGTTGTTACTTTGCTAAATACTGTTGGGTAACATGTTGACTGCATTACCGCATCTTTTCAACGTCCTCACTTAGAGTCACACCTGCCCTTTTTCATCAGTGCTTCTATTTCTACATGTGTTTCTTCGTTGAAAACTTTATTTGAGTTTTTATTTCATGTGTTTGTTCTTAAAAGCAGTTTTAACTGGAAATAGTGAATTTTTGCCATGAATCCGTTGCTTTGCTCTATCCTCTTTCTTTCTTCATATAATTCATGCCATACTACATACACTCATATCAGCTACAAGCTACATAATTGTTACCCAATGTTTAAGTCGACCAATCGAGCTACCAAGAATAACCTTTCCATCTATGTTAACAGCTGTTGTTGTTTTTAGTACGCACTTGCTCTTAATTTTAGATAGTATACATTACTTGTCCGTGCTGATAACGTAAATGTGCTTTGCTTACTTGCTGGCTGGCTTGCTTGGTTGCTTCTAACTCGGTTCGACCAATTTGCACCGGTTTGAAGTTGTGCCAACTCGTATTTGGCGAGCAACGAAGCATGAAAGACAAGAAAAATTGTTTTTCAAAAAACAAAGCTAAACTGAAACTGCCTTGAATTGAATTTTTTGCAATTCTTGGCACTGGTTTTGTTGTTATCAATGCTGCGGGGGTTAACACATTTTATTGTATACAAAGTTACAGTGTCATCAATTGGTTGTTTCAGAACTAGAAATGTAAATGTTGCGCAATAATGTGAAGGATGTCAACATTTATGCTTGACAGTGTAGTTTTTTTTTGTGCTAAGAACTGTTTGCAAGATTATATGATTGTTATATAAGTGGTAGATGTATTTCGTTCAATGACGATCTTAGTCGATTTAGCGTTGTCGCTCAGTTTATGAGATATCGATCTGAAATTTTGCACACGGCCTTTTCTCCCCTTATAGCTTCGGTGCAACTTGGGTCTTTTTATTTTTTTTTATTTTTTAATAATAAAATATATATTTTTTTTCTGTAATAATATATTTTTTTTTCTGTAATAATATATTTTTTTTTTTTTTCTTTAATAATATATATTTTTCCTTTAACAATTTATATATTTTTTCTTTAATAATATATGTTGCGTCTAATATAAATTTATTTGCTTTCTCTCTTTGCAGTAACGGTACAAGCATGATTTCATTAATCATACCGCCAAAGGATCAAATCTCACGTGTCAGCAAAATGTTGGCCGATGAATTCGGCACAGCGTCGAACATTAAGTCACGTGTCAATCGTTTGTCCGTCTTGGGCGCCATTACATCGGTACAACATAGGCTTAAATTATACACCAAAGGTCAGTTATTTAGTTTTTTTGCCCTAACACAAATCTTTTTATTAACAAATTACCAAATCTACCACATTTACAGTGCCTCCAAATGGTCTGGTCATCTACTGCGGCACCATTGTCACAGAAGAGGGCAAAGAGAAGAAGGTGAATATTGATTTTGAACCCTTCAAGCCGATCAATACGTCGCTATATTTATGCGATAACAAGTTCCACACTGAAGCGTTGACCGCTTTACTGGCCGATGATAATAAATTCGGTTTCATCGTGATGGACGGTAATGGCGCTCTCTTTGGTACACTACAAGGTAATACACGTGAAGTACTGCACAAATTCACTGTCGATCTGCCGAAGAAGCACGGGCGTGGTGGTCAGTCAGCGTTGCGTTTCGCACGTCTGCGTATGGAGAAACGTCACAATTATGTGCGTAAAGTGGCCGAAGTTGCTACGCAATTGTTCATAACAAATGATAAACCGAATATTGCGGGCTTAATTTTGGCCGGTAGTGCGGACTTTAAGACAGAGTTGAGTCAATCCGATATGTTCGATCCTGTAAGTACTGAAAATACTATTATGAATACGCCTGTGTTCTATCATATTTTTTTCACCACCTTGTTTTTGTTTTTGTATAGAGACTGCAATCCAAGGTTATCAAGCTGGTGGATGTCTCATATGGCGGTGAGAATGGTTTTAATCAAGCGATAGAACTGGCGGCCGAGTCATTGCAGAATGTCAAATTCATACAAGAGAAGAAACTCATTGGTCGTTACTTTGATGAAATTTCTCAGGTGTGTGGCAGTTATTTAGTTTATGTCTAAAAAGTTGCAATTTCGAAATTGAACAGCTTGTACTGTAAATCTTACGTGCTCGAAAATATTTCATATTTTTTATTTATTACTTTTAGGACACGGGCAAATATTGTTTTGGTGTAGAGGATACCTTGCGCGCCTTGGAATTGGGTTCCGTTGAGACTTTAATCTGTTGGGAAAATTTAGATATACAACGTTATGTGTTGAAGAATCATGCGAACTCGACGTCGAATACAGTATTGCATTTGACGCCCGAACAAGAGAAGGACAAGTCACATTTCACCGACAAGGAAGTGAGTTTATAATATAAGCACAGAAATTCGAAATCGAAATCGAAAATATTAAATTCCGTTTCTTTTTTCTTGCATATTTTTGTTTTTTTTTTGGTTGTATTTTTGTTGTAATTATTATATTTGTTTCATATTTTGTTTTATTTTTGGTTTTGCTGGTATTTTTGAATTTCAAAAAAAATTGTTTATATTGTTTTTTATGTATTTTTTTATTGTATTTTTTTTTCGTATTTTTTTTTGTATTTTTTGTTTTTTTTTGTAATTTTTGGTTAATTTTTGTATTGTGTTTTTTAATTTTTTTTATTTCTTAATTTTTTTTTTATTTTTTGTTGTATTTTTAATTTTTTTTTAAATTTATTTTTGCTGTATTATTTTAATTATTTTGTTTATTTTTTTATTGTATATATTATTTATTTTTGTTTTTAATTTATTTTTGTATATTTTTTGTTTTGTTGTATTTTGTCATTTTTTGTTGTTGTTTTTTTGTTATTTTTTTTATTGTTTTATTTTTTTTATTGTATTTGTTGTTGTAATTTTGTATGTTGTATTTTCTTTTTTTTTTTTGTATTTTTTTGGTTGTCGTTTTTTGATTGTATTTGTATTTTTGTTATATATTTTTTGTTGTATTTTTTATTTGATTTATTATATTTTATATTATTGTAAACGCCTTTCATAAATTTACAGAGTGGCGTAGAAATGGAATTAATCGAGTCTCAACCGCTGCTCGAATGGTTGGCGAACAACTACAAAATGTTCGGTGCTACACTTGAGATTATTACGGACAAATCTCAAGAGGGCAGTCAGTTTGTGCGCGGTTTCGGTGGCATTGGTGGTAAGTTTCATGCGGCTTTTTGTAAAAGTAGTACCATTTTTATTTTCTATGTAAGAAAATCTCACAGAAATTTAGCGCTTAACAATTTTTTCTACGGAGTCTAACGTTTCTGAAATTTACGAAATATTATTAAACTGATTTTAAATTTTAAAGTAACTGTTTGTTCGGTTTTTGAATATCAAGTAAATCAACTGCTGAGGGAGGCGCTTTTTCTTTATAACCTAACCTCTTTTAAATGCGTATAGTTGAAAAGCCTTTTTCTCGGTTTCTTAGCATAAAATTTCTGTGAAATTAGCGCTTATAATTTGTTGCTTATTTTTCAAAAATATAATGTACTGTAATATTAAGAAAAGTTTGGCTAAATGACGAAATTTCTCTTTCTCTCTTTTTTATTCCTTGTCGCTGCTTATGTAAATGGCTAATATAAATACAAACAAAAAATATATTAATTGTGGCATTATGCGAAAAAACACAACTATTCCAATTATTCTCCCATCGACGTTCCCTTTTCTCCAAATCAAAAATTATTATTCCTCACTTTTTGTTTGTTCACTTATATTTTGTGCCTTTTTTCACTTCTACACACTGCGTATTGCACTTACCATCCATATTTCAACTACATATTTAATTTGTGTGGATTTTTTGTAAACTTTTATTAGGGATTTTACGCTATAAAGTCGACTTTCAATCACTGCAGGCTGACGAACCATTGGAGGATGTTGATCTTGATGACTATTAAGCGAAACAAAAAGATACACCTCCATTTCATCTCGAATCTATTTCTCACGTTGCTACAATTTATATATAATATATATATATATTCATATATAAATTCTTTTGCAACACACTTGGCAACAACAAAGCAAAATTAAAAGTATATTACTGTAGTGATCATATGTAGCAGGTTTTTTTTTGTGAATTTTTCGCATAAACTAATTTTAATACACTGTAAGAAATCAAATGCTAACACGAAATCAGTAGATAAGTTGCAGTCAGTTTTAAAGTACATAAAAAATGCGTGCGCACGCAACTTGCAAATTTCTGGTACGCAATATTTTTTGTTCAGCTCTATTCGTCATGATAACTTTTCAAAAATTCTTTGTTTTCAAATGTAGAAACGCAATAACAAATTCGATTCTTAAATTCACTTTTACAATTGGCGTGTAAACGAAACACAAACAACCAAACATGAAATACACAGGAAAAAGGCAACGACCTCGTAAATTATTTATTGTCGCGTCGAAAGCCGCCTAGAAGTTGGTTTAATGAAAATGAAAATAAAAACAAAACTAATTATATTTATATAACAAAATACTAAACAAAAAAATAGTTAATGAGAGCCATACGTTCAAATTCAATTTAAATAAATCAATAAAATTTAATAAATAATAAATAAAAAACTGAGAGTAAAAACGTAATTTATAAATACATACAAAACACCTATATTACCTACCAACGTAAATAATAACACATAAATGCAAAAAAAAGTAATAAAAAAACCATACGTACACATATACAGTATATATACATAAATATATATTTCAACAAGGATAAATAAAAAGATGAATGAATTCAAAAATACAAAGTAAACAAATTACGTCTTCAAAATTCTTGAACTTGCTTACGCTTAGAGTGAAAAAATTTTTTAAATACAAAAGGCAGCCATAATACCCCTCACATATGCAGTTATTATAGCATAAAAGCGTATTATATGTCAGCTATATGCTATAGTAGTCCGATCTAAATAATTTATTCAGAGCTTATAGCCTTGCCGAATTTTATGAAGATATCTTGTCAAATAAAAAAGTTTTCCATATAAGAATTGAGTTTTGAACGTTCAGTTTGTATGAGCGCTATATGCTATAGTGGGTCGATATCGCCAATTTCTTGGCGACGTTTCCTTCTGGTTGTTACAAACTTCGTGGCAAACTTAATATACCCTGTTTAGCGTCTAAAGTTATTGCATCAAAAATGAACGCGTATGTACATGGAATATTGACCGCTGAAAATTTCAGCAACCGCTTCTAGATATTTTTTCCAACTATAGCGTTTCTAAAAGCAGCTCTTTCACTTTTATTTATTTATTGATATCTATTCAGCTGTTACAATAACCTCTACAAACTTATAATATGTAAGTTTGATGTGACGTTAAGTCGTCGACGTCATTGCAGATATCGCTGCTGCAATTGTCTCTTTCAATCAAGTACATTTTCTTGAAATGCGCATAAAGCAAACACAATTTGTATATTACGCGCAAATATACTTATACTTGCATATATGTATGTATAAGGGGTGGAATAAAAATGATTTTTAATTTTATTATACCAGTTTCCAAGAAGCAAAACGTCATGCAAGGAATATTTTCAAACGAATTATGTATTTAAACACCCTTATAGTGCTATATGTGCGCAAAATTTCTACAATTCGTTATCATTTCAAGCAATATACATACATTTAATATTTAGAATTTACAATACAATTTATTCTTTTTTATTGTTAATTTTCTTGTAATAATTTCAATATTTAATTTTTTATTGCTAATCTTTTTTTTAATGTTTAGTTTGTTTCTAATTTTAATTTTTTTGTTATTGCAAATATATTTTTTCTACTTTTTATTAATATTTAATTTATTTATTCTAAATATTTTTTTTAATTTATATTCGACTGCAAAAATTTTTTTATGCACATTTTTGTTTGTATTTGAATTCGTAAATGCGATTTTTCATATACATTTTTTTTTATTTTTTTATATTAATTTTGAAAATTTATTCTTTTTATCAAATTTTTATTTTCAATATTTATTTTTTTTACTTAATTCATTTTTTTACTTAATATTTTTTTTTATTTAATTTTTTTTTACTTAATATTTTGGTTTTTACTTAATATTTTTTTTTTACTTAATATATATTTTTTACTTAATATTTTTTTTTACTCAAAATTTTTTTTTTTTTTGATTCCAACCTTTTTTTTTAATTTTTCTTCAACTGCAATCAATTGAACAAATAAAATTGGTCTTTTTCTATGCAAATTTCTATTTTTGTTTACATAAATATGAGTTTCTTATAACAAAAATCGTTTTAGCCAATCAAATTGTTGCGAAACCATATACTTTTATTTATTCCAAAAAATTTTGTTAGAAAACCTTATCATCCTGTCGTTTATTCCACCAATTGACCTTTATCCTTTGCGTTTGTGCTTTCCGTGCCTTGTAAATCCACACTCTGTAAGCGTAAAAATTAGCCAAGTGCGCTAGTTTAACTGCTAAGGCAACCAAATACATACATTTGTATGTATGTATGTACAAGTCTTAGAGGTAAATATTGCTGCGTAAAAATCATTCACGCATTTTACTTAATTAATTTCATCATTTGTAGCATAATGCATACAATTTATTGCATTTTCTTTTTTACTTTTTGTTTTCAAGTAAATTCTGACTTTATTTTTTTATGTAATTCGTATGTGTAAAATGTTATTTATTGGTATACATATGTTCTATGTACATATGTACATATGTGGACTGTGTTTCTTGCTACAAAATTTATTAGAAAAAAATAAAAAAGTAATTTAGCGTTTAATTTTGTCAACAAATTTTATTTATTTAGACGCCTAACACACGGTTCAGTTTTTATTTTATTTTTATTTAATTATTATTTTCATTTATCAATAATATTATTTATATTTTGTGCGCTCATTTGCACACAATTAACTCCAATTGTAATACTAATGTAGACGTTTTTCTTTTCTTTCAATTTTTCTTTACACTTCTGCAGGTATTTTACGCTACAAAGTGGACTTCCAGAGTATGCAACTCGAAGATGATGAGAATGATTACTACGACATAGATGACTATTAGACAATTAATGTTTTTTGTTTTTTTTTTATACTTAAAAAAAAATTTTCTTCCATTTGCAAAAATAATGAAAAATATATTTAAATCAAAAAGAACAATCTATTAAAAAAAACACCCACTTCCAATACAAGCGTAACTCTGCTGACATCACAAAGTGAAACAGCGTGCGAATATTCATCGAATTGTTGATGTCAAAAGATAATTGTTAAAAATCATCGAAAAAATAGTTGTATATATATATATATATGTATGTATGTAACTAAGAAGAAACACATAAAAAAAATTCCCTAATCCAGAAGACTCATAGCAAGCAATACCTCAAATGGAAGTAGCGTGTCGTATAATGCCAGCAAAGCGGTAAAACAATATAGTAGCGTACAACCAACTGGGATCATTATTTTAACAGCACTACCGCGCATGAACCGGGACCAACAACAACAGCAATTGTGGTAAAAGTCGAAAAGTTTCGTCGGCGCATTTGCATATGTGCATACGTTTATACCACTGTATTTGGTTTATAACTGGCGTGCGCCCTGTCGTCGTTGAAACAGTTCATTGTGCATCAAACACACACACACACGAAACTACATCGTGCTTCGTCTACCTGTCTGTCTGTTACTGCCTGCAAAGCAGACGTCACGTTTTCGACGTCAGCAAAGCATTTTTCGCGTCTAACAGCATTTTTTGGATTCTACGCAAATAAATTAGAAACAAAAAAATATATATTTAACAATTTCATTTGCGAAGAAAATAATTTTGTTAATTTAAAAAGAAAACTGATGTAATTTATATACACATATACAACAATATAGAAATATACAGAATTAGAAAAGGCAAAAAAAAAAACATGTAAAATAAAAAGAACTGCTACCAATAACATCAAAATATATGAGGAACCACGAAATAAACAAGAATTTAACGGCTAATAAAGTTAAAAACAAAGCAAAAAAGCTGTCAAGTTGCTGTTAATTTATTCCTTTTTTTTTTAACTGAGAAATTTTTAAGGTTAAAGTGCGAATTATACTAAGGGATAACTATTATAACATAAAGCCGTTATGATTGAGTTTGTATACTCGGTGAGTCGTACAAACTAAATCGGTGCACTAATGGAGTGTTGTGTTTGTTCTAGCCAATATTTAATGCATAGGCAGATGAAATAGCTAGCTATTGCCAAGATCATCTAATAAGTTGCAAAAGTAAACTTTCTATAAGGAAACAAATTGAACTACATATATTCCCATAGTACTTACACTAGTTTTGTTGTTGCTATTAAAGCAACATGGTTAAGTTTGCAGACTAAAAGTATATTAAACCTAACTGTAGGTTGTCAATGTCACCTTGAAACAAAGTGAAATGTCGCAGTAAGGTTTTAACAGCGCAGCGTTAGTTGGTCACACGAGCGATATACATAATTCTATTATATACTTATAGTGCAATTGCTACCAAATACTTTTTTATCCTGAATTTCAAATTCAAAAAATTTTCGGTTTCCTTATATATTCACACAGTACTTTCCAAACTGTCAGTCAACAGCTCTCAAATTTTTTGAAAGAGCGATAAGCCCGTATGCAACTCTGTGTAAATAGAAACAGCTGCTTACTTTGACAATACTTTTGTGTTTACATATCCGTGCAGTGCATTTATTAATACACAAATTTTATTTGTATTATTGAAAGGTTTAACTTATAAGCTGCGTCAATTTATTTGTATTAAAGAATTTATATAAATTCTTCAACATGGGACGCGCAGAAGTCGGTACACCGAAGTACCTTGCCAACAAAATGAAGGCGAAGGGTCTGCAGAAGCTCCGCTGGTACTGCCAAATGTGTGAGAAACAGTGCCGTGATGAGAATGGCTTTAAGTGCCACACAATGAGTGAATCACATCAACGCCAACTCCTACTGTTCGCCGACTCACCAGGAAAGTTCTTGTTTAGCTTCTCTAAAGAGTTTTCTGACGGCTATATGGAGCTACTGCGACGACGTTTCGGCACTAAGCGCGTCAATGCAAATAAAGTGTATCAGGAGTATATTTCTGTAAAAGATCATATACACATGAATGCCACACGTTGGCTTACGCTGTCAGATTATGTTAAATGGTTGGGACGTACCGGTCAAGTAACAGCCGATGAAACGGAAAAGGGTTGGTATGTGACCTACATCGATAGGAGTCCAGAAGCAATGGAGAGACAAGCAAAGGCGGAAAAGAAAGAGAAAATGGAGAAGGATGATGAGGAACGTATGATGGAGTTTATTGAAAAACAAATTGAAAAAACGAAAAGTAAAGATGGTGCACAAGAGGATGAAACAGAAAAATATACCGAACTACGGCGAGAAGAAGAACAGCCGCTGAAATTGGATATTAGGCTGGAGAAAAAATTCAATCCGGACACAAAATTAGGCCCATCCGCCTTGATATTAAAACGGCCAAAAATAGAAAGTCATACCGATAACGATTCAGAAGGGGAGGAGTCCGATGAAATAGAAGAGAAAGTGTTCAAAAAACCCAAAACACCTAAATTAGATAGGAGAAAGGATAGTAGCAAGGAGAGCAGTAAATCAGCATTAGATGAATTGATTAAAGAGGAGGAGGCGAAGAAAGAGCGTGTCAATCGCAAGGATTATTGGTTGCACACAGGCATTGTGGTGAAATTCATTAACAAGGCAATGGGTGACAAATTCTATAAACAAAAAGCTGTGGTGCAAGAAGTTATTGACAAATATAGAGCGAAAATCAAATTCTTAGATACAGGTGATAAGTTGAAAGTTGATCAGGTAATTTGGAAGTTCACAAGAATATTTACAAATGTTAAAAGTTTATAGAAAAATTAATAATGCAATTTTTTTTCTTAGGCTCATTTGGAAACCGTCATACCAGCGCTAGATAAACCAATATTGGTGGTAAATGGCGCATATCGTGGCTGCGAAGCTATATTAAAAAGTTTAGATGAACATAATTACTGTGTTACCATAGAGATCTCACGCGGTCCACTGCAAGGACGCATTGTGGAAAAAGTACAATATGAAGATATATCAAAAATTTATTAAGGAGATACAATTACGAAAATATTTTTGTACAATTTAAATGAAGTTGCTGTAAATAGCATATAGACTACAAAAGTAGGATGTTGAAGCTTAAAAATAACACCTTGAAATATTTTATATATTTATAAAATTTTTTTTAGAATTTTCTGAAAGCATTTGAAATTCGAGTGTACTTGTAAAATAAATCTATTGTATACGTAAAGCTGTTTGTAATGCTTTTGGTGTCCACAGGGAAGCATTTGTTAAAAACCTAAGCTAAAATAGAAATAAAACACATACACGAACTTGGTTTTGATAGTTCAGTTTGTATGGTCCGATCTAAAAAAAAACTTCTTCGGAGATTGTAAGGTTGTCTTGGACTATAATATAAACCAAATTTCGTGACGAGATTTTGTTAAAAAAAAAAAAACTTTTCTATAAAAGGACTTGGCAGTTATATGCTATAGTGGTGCGATATTGATATCGTTTCCTAAAAATAAGCAGCTTCTGGAGGAGAAAAGGGCGTGTGCGAAATTTCAGATAGCTATCTCAAAAACTAAGGGACTAGGTCCCGTATATACAGGCAGACAGACCGACAATCTAAATCACGCTGATCATTTAGAAATGTTATAGATGTTACAAACTTCGTGGTAAACTTAATATACCCTGTTTAGAGTATAAAAATGTACAGTAAATTAAAGACATTAATTTCTCAATAATCTTTTTTTTTCTTCATTTTCTTATAATTAATTTTGTCTTACATAATAACAACAATTTAACCATAATGAGTATCGAAAAAGCTATACTACTAAAAATAATCGCTATCAGGTACTTGTGCTTAACTTTGCTTTGATAATCTCTTTATTAGTTTGCCGTTTTCCAACCACCTTTAATATTACTGTAATTCAGGTATTTTTTTTTTTTTTGCTATGTTAGACAAGCGATTCGGTTGGTGTACTACCAATATGCTCTAAGGAACGTCGCAAACGTTTCCAAAAATGTTTACGGTCTTCCGGTTTGACTTCATGTCCCTTTGCGCCTGGCCACTTGATATATGTTTTTACTTCCATTAGATATTGTAGTGTTTTCGGTCGTTTCATGCGTGGTATGTCTTCAAGAAATACGATAATTAGATGCTCTTTGCTCACCTCGAAAATGCTGTGAATAAATGAAGTGAAGTGAGGTTAGATTTTTTTTCATTTGTAGACTTTTTATAAGTTGAATACTAGGCGTAAACTAACCGATGTTGCGCTAAGTGCATTTCAAATTGACACCAATGGCTCAGTAGAAAGTTCGAAGACACAATTAACATTAGAGCTCGCGATCGATCCATGCAAGATATAATATTTTCAAGAATTGCGACACCGATCTGGAAAAGGAAACAAAATTGTACATGTACTTTTTTTTATCAAATAATGATTTGATATTTTTTATACTATTTGTGATGTTTGGTCGTGTCCGCAGTTTTTAGAACATTATAAAATAGCAATGTCAGTCTTTGCTTCGATTCTTTATTTATGTAGAGAAATCGCGCAATGAAAGCAAAAAGCGCTTGGGGGCTGTAAACCGCGACTCTTCTCCTTCGTAGAATACGAATACTGTTCTATCGGATGGCAGGGTGGTGGTCAGCATTTTCTAGAATTTACAAGGTGTGATTTACAACGACCAACTGGAGAAGTGCAGAGCTACCACAGGGGTCTGCTATGCTGAATTATCGGGCCGATGTAACGCTAACTGCCATCGCCTGGGTTAAATTTGTTGAATTAAGTTGTTAACTGCTGCACGATATTTTGCAGATCAGGCCCTGAGCGACTTCTTTTTGTTTTCAAACTTGAAAAAAGTCACTTAACAGCCAAGGGATCTTAAAACAAGAACAAACGCTAACTTCGGTGCACCGAAGCTATAGTACCATTCGTAGGTACATTTCTTATGACATAAAAGCGTATAAAAAGTTATTTATGCTAATTTTGATAAATAAGTTTGAATGGCAGGTATATGCTATAGTGGGCCGATCTGAACAATTTATGCGGATATTGTAGAGTTGGCTCGGACAGTAAGCTATGCCAAACTTCGTAAAGGTAGCTTGTTTTCCATAATGGGACTTCAGTTTGAACGGCTGCAATATGCTATAGTTGTACGTTAACGGCTGTTCTGACAAATGAGCTGCTTCTTGGTGGGAAAAGAAGATCGGCAATATTTCAGATCGTTTCAGATTAGACGGACATGGGTAAATCGACTCAACTCATCATGCTGATCATTTATACCATATATATATACTTTATAGGGTCTCCGACGTTTACTTCTGTGTGTTCCAAACTTAATATACCCTTTACTGGGTATAAATATGTATAAATTTATCTATAAATTCTCCTAGCTTTCAAGATTTTCATCTTCATCTTTTCATTTTCTATATCACTCGAAATTTAGTCTATTTCCGACATTCAAATTTATGCCTTCACCATTCTTTCAACTCACCTGAAAATCTCGCTCGTGCAAGCATATCGATATGTTGCCCGTTTCTTCCACATTCGGTAGCAATTCCTCCAACACCCAGTCACGATCACTCTGACAATAGCTAATAAAAATGTCATACACCATTTGCGGACTACTTTCGGCCAACTCATTAAACTTGTTCACCTGATCCTTCGTGGCCATGGACAACAAAGCGGCCGATTTCAACGACGAATAATAGTAGTAAATATGCCAACGCTTCATATACATAAAAACGATGAACAAAGTTAAACCCAACAATGAACAAACCGAGGCGACAAGAATTATCGTTAATTGACGTATGCTGTCGGCAATGATGCCTTCAAATGGCGTCGTCTCACAACTCAATTGCTCGAATTGCATGCGTTGTGTGCCATTAAAGCACCAATAATGATCGTTCTCGTAGTCGATAAAACGGAAACGCGGCATTGACGCATTCCACAAATCGCTGCTATATTCAACGGAGTTCAAGGTGGCGCATTCTTCGCTCAATTCTTGGAATGTTAAATGTAAGTTTGCATACGCTTTAGGTGTGACTGCGCGCAAACGTGATGGAGAATGCATCACAAAGTAATTACGTGGATTTTCGTAATTTGGTTTGGATTTCTCTTGCGGAAGTTGGTTTAAGATTGCCGATAGTATGGTTCTAATATCAGTTACATTATCCCGTGCCTTATCTGTGTTATTAACGGTGTTTTCTAATATTATGTCTGGTATATCGTTGAGCATATTGCTTGTGCACTCGGCCTTTTTATTGTTGTGCACCGCTACGGCTACCAAATCGCGTAATATGCAATCACATGCGAAGTTATTCTCGCCTAGACCGAGCAGCTCGAGTGACTTGAAATCATTTAACATTGCATAATTCAGAATATTTATGTTGTTGTTGCGCAGATTTAGTACACGCAGCTTGGTGTTGTTAACGAATACTTGTTGATACCAATTGCCGATGTTATTGTAACTCAAATCGATAACTTCCAAATTCTCCAATAAGCCAAAATAATCCGATGTTAAAAAGTTGATGTTGTTATTGGTCACATTAAGTACACGCAAATGCTTAAGACGCCTCAACCAATCCAGTTCTTTTAAATTGGAATATTCTAAGTACAAGTATTCCAAGGTATCCGCAACGTTTTCAAAAGCATCATCGACGAAATTTAATGCCGCATGCGGATTACCCGAGAGATCTAACCCAATCAGACTTGTTTTCTTGAATAAAAAATTGTCAAACAACGGAAATGATGTATAACATAAGCTCATAATCTTCAAATCAGGACTGAGTTGTGTGAACGACACGGCGCTGTTGCGTGTCATCTTCGTGTGTGACAAGTCGAGAAATTGGAGTTTTCTGAGTCTTTTGAAAGTGCCCACTTGTATGTGTACACCGTATAGTAAACTCCAGATAGCATTGAGTGTTGGATGTGGCATCTTGTAGTCGAATTCTAAAAAATTGGTGTAGGACAGATCGAGATATTCCAGTTTGGACAATAGTTGAAAGCTGTTTTTTGGTATAGTGAGCATTTTGTTACGCGACATAAAAAGTTTACGTATGCCGGTGATGTTACGAAAGACGTCACGATCTATGCGTTCGATATTACAGCCGCTTATGTCCAACTCCAGTAAAAGTGGCATCTTCGGGAAGGTGGCCCAAACGATGCCATTTTCTGTACGTCAGACAAATTACAAAATATAAAAGACAACGATAAGAACCAGAATAAGCATATTTGTAAAAACTAGTGCAAAAATCTGCGTAGATATATACATATATATATAATATATTGTTACTACTTAATATGTTTTATATAAGTAGCTTCTGCAAAGGGGCTAGAAAGTGTATACTGTCGTCTATGTCTATGGCTCTAGTCCGTCTTTCCACAATTGTCGGTATCTTCAGTAAAGAACTACCCCTCTTCGAGAGCAATCGTTATTAACCACAATTTTTCTTGCAGCAATCATTATCTTAAGGGGGGTCGCATATGTAAACCTGCAAATTGTGTACTACAATTAATAAAAATATTAAAGACGGTGTATTTGCTATAATTTTAACAGATGAACCCAATGTGTTACGTCTAGTTTTTATCACCAGTAATTGTAAACATAAACACAAAATCTAATTTTTTTCACGAGTAAAAGGCAAACATAAATGATTACAAATTTTATGCCGCGTGCCACTCGCTGTGCTATAAATAGTGTAGTTAGACAAAATTAATACCCGACGATAAAATTCTCATCAATCAACTGGGTATTAACTATTGTTTTACTCCGTGAAACAACATGAGCTTATGTACGTATGTATTAGTTCGAAATATCAGTAATTGTGTGATGGTTATTACTTTAATTTCACTGTTATATCCGATTAGATCGTTGATTGTCGTAATATATGTATACAGGAATATGAGCTTAACGGGTTATATCCACTTGCAAGTCAGAAAAAAAGCGTTTTTTGTTAGAAAAGGCATTTAAAAAAAAAACCAAAAATAAGATAATAATAAGAGAACCCTCGAAAAAAGATGTCTGACGGAGTGGAGAATTTTTCTGCATAAAATTATCACAATTCAAAAAGCAAAAAAAAAAAATGTTACAATAGATGAATTCATAGAATGATCGAAGTACTAGCTAAAATTTTAATTTTTGTCAAAATGGTCGCTTACCAAAGAGAGTCGTTTTTTTTAAATTACGAATCATGGCTTAAAAATACAAATTATTATCGAAACACTTAGTACTTCGCTCATAACCCAAAGAAGGTCGTGTAAAAATTTCAAGTGTATCAGTCGAGCTGTTTTAGAGAAATTGTTTCTCAGCGACTCTGAAAACAGCGTATCGAGAAAAACGTATTTCAAGTTTTGGAAGTCGAAATTCAATTTTTTGGAATTCACAAATGTATATGACCTCTTAAATCATGCCGAAAAAATTTGATCATAGAACTAACCTAATTAAGAGATTTTAATATTTTTTCTTAAACCTTGCAATATCTTTGTAGAATGGCGCCAAAAATTAAAACAAAAATCTTAAGTAAACATTATAAATAATATAAGCAAACTCGCACTTATGTACCTACAAACATATGTTTCCATACATATTTACATAATATTTAGTAAAAGTGGATTCTGAAGTAGGAGTTTTCTCATTGAGAGGTGTGTGAATTTATTTTATTAACACTTTCAAGGTTTGAAAGCAACTGCTTCTGTTAATAAAATTTCGTTGCCTATATTAATGAAGTAATCGAGAAAAATAACAGTGTTAACTAGATAGTGAGAGAAAGAGGAAGTTGGAAAAGTGTTTAAAAAAATATGTAATTTAATAAAAAGTTCGAAAATTAGTCAAATATGTAGAAGATTTGAACGCATATGGAAAAAATTAACAATTATAAAACACAAAATAAAAGTCATAAAAGTAAAAAATTTAATAAATATTTAGACAACAAATGCAGTTAAAAATAAAAAAAGTTAGATATCGCAAAAAAAACACCAAAAATATATAAATATACAAAAAATAATCATTAAAAACTCGTTTTCAATAAATATCGAAAATAAATTCCGTAAAAACCAAAATAATATTAATTAAATATATAAATATTAAATAAATCAAATAAATTGTAAATATATGTTCCTCAATTAATTTTTATAATAATTATTATTATTTTAATAAGCAAATATATTATTTTAATAAATTCTGTAAAAATATAAAGTAATATTAAATGTATATTAAATAAATAAAATAAATGTGTAAATTAATAATTTGCTATTTTTGAAAGGACTTTTCATAACACTAAAATATAAATAATAATAAAAAAATATTAAAAGAGATGCCATTGAAATAAAAACGATTTTCTACCATTAAATGTTTTTAATTTTCAAGCACATGATATAAGAAAATATATTCTAAAAAATAATTAAGTTTAAGAAGTGAGTAACGGAAAACTTGGTGTGAGATCTAAATAAAATAAAGTTCAGTTGATTTCTGATTAAAAAATGTTGAATAAATATCTCAAAAGCTTAAAATATAAAAACATTTTTGACAATAAAAATTGGTTTCTCAAAGCATAATAACGGTCTAAGTTGTCTTATAAAGAAACAAGCAAAAAATGCAGTTAGATTTAAATTAAATAATTAAAAAAACATAAAATTTTTTGTGTCAATTTGCCGATTTATCTAAAAAAATTTAAGAAAATTTACTGAAGCAGGTGTTAACTCGAAAACTTGTAAATCTAAGAAAATATTGTTTTAACGAAAATTAATATCATAAATGCGGGAAATAAAAAAAAATTCAAAATAAATTATTTCGATTTTTAAGCTTCAAATGCTTGGAAAATTGCGCTGAAAATTTCTAAATTACATTTTTATTTTGAAATAAATTTAATTACATTCATTTTAATAAAATTACCTAAAATATTATTATTATTTTTTCATAAAATGTTTGTATAAAAAAATGTATAATATTACGAAAAAAATAAAAATCGATGAACAACTTCAATAAAGCTTTACCATATAATAAAAGTTACATTAAAACATTTTTTAACAAAATAAATTGTTAAAAAGATAAATGCAGAAAATTTTGTTAGAGGTTAAGATTAAAATTATATATTTTAAATTGAAATAAAAATATAGTAATAAAAAATAGTTTTAATGATGAAAAGCTAATTTAGAAACTATAAAACTAAAATAATTAAAGTTTTTATACTTTGCAATATTATATAAAAATAAATTTTATGTAAAAAATATTTTTTTTAATAATTATAATAATAAAATAAAATTTCAGACAATATTTTTTTGATAAAAAATTAAACAGTAGTTGAAATAATATCGATTTTATACAAAACTAACATTTTTCGAAAACTTTCGTATTTTCATTAAACTCATTTCAGTTGAATCCAGAAGAGACTTTTAAAATCAGTAATTAAATCAGTGTCCATTACTTACAAAATGAATTATGCAATCATCGTAATTTTCTGCGCAATTCTTTCGAGCAGTTATCAGACGCAAACTACGGTCTCCCCACAAACTACTGTCTCCCCACCAACTACTGACTCGCCACAAACTACGGTCTCCCCACAAACTACTGTCTCGCCACAAACTACGGTCTCCCCGCAAACTACTGTCTCTCCACAAACTACGGCCTGCCCGCAAACTACCGTCCTTCCAACGGACTCTCTCGCGGCGTCAGTCACTGAAAATGCGACGGCAAATGCAAGAGCTATCAATTGGCCGATGTTTTTGTCCTTTTCGTCATTTTCGAACAAAATTTCAGATCTAATGGTGTTGAAGAAGAACGTTATAGCCGCATATCCACTGCAACTTGGCTCCACACTAATCGATAAGCTATGTATGTAAGCTTTATAAATATAAAACAAAATGCAATTACAAAATTTAAAATGAATCTATACCGTTTTCGGCAGGTTCCAGCACGCTGTTTATGTCTCAGGTGCCAGCTCGATTTACACCAGATATAAGAAAAATGAATTTCCAATATATTACCAGCTGTAAAAATTATAGCGTACCACTTATGAAGGCGGAACAACTTTGGCAACACATGAGCTTTAATAAGCAGAGAAAAGTTGTCATTTTAGCAACCGGTTGGACCAATACCATCAATGATTCTTCCGCCTTGGCGTTGCTTTCGAAGGCGTTTCTGTGTCGAAAGGATGTGAATTTCATTGTGAGTGAGAAAAGAAATCGTGGTATCAGAACAGTTGTAATTTGATCTTATTGGTTTCATTACCAACATAGGCTTTAATATTGCTTTTCTACTAAAAAAGATAAAAGAGCGAGATTCCGCCTTGAGCTGTGGAATGAAATCGATTTACAAGAAGCTAAGAGTGCATTCTAAGTATAATGAATGCTTATACTTTTAAAAGATGATTTGTCGAGCATTAATATTAATTAAGATATGAAAATATTTTATACAAAAAAACAAAATTATCTTTTGAGAATTTGTGGTCGGTATGTGGAAACCTCTTCATGCATCCATCTTAACTGCTTAGGTTAAGCCTTAGACTCTAAAGCTTAGACTCTAAGCTTAAATTAAGGCTTTTTTTTGCTTTTACTAATTTCAGATTGTCGATGCCGCATACTATGTAGACACATTATATAAATGGTCCGCATTAAATACAGAGGAAATTGGCGAATATATAGCGAAAGGTCTTAGGCATTTAATAAAAGTAGTACCGCTAGAAAATATTCACTTAGTCGGTGAGTAGAATACTTAAAGCATAGCTGTTTTTCGATTAAAATGTGTTTGTATTATTTAAATGAATTATTCCTCATATAATTAGGACACAGTCTTGGCGCACACATAATGGGCAAGGCTGGCCGTACTTTCACCAAATTGACTGGGCATAAAATACCACGTATTACCGGTTTGGATCCGGCTAAGCCATGTTTTTATAAACACGATACGCTCTATAGCTTGCGACGAGGCGATGCCGCTTTTGTGGATGTCATTCACACAAATATCGGTATATTGGCGAAGAAGCTACCGCTTGGTGATATAGATTTCTATCCAGGTGGCGCCAATCCGCTACCACCAGGCTGTTTGACTGCATCCTGCGCGCATATACGTTCCGTGGAGTATTTTGCCGAGAGTGTTTATCCGGGAAATGCAAAAAATTTCATTGGCTTGAAGTGTGCAAATTGGAACGATTTAAAGAAATTAAATTGCACACCCACCGATACCACACCCATGGGTTATGCGGTGAATGAACAAAAACGGGGTATTTATTATGTGCAAGTGAATCGCAAATCACCTTATGGCAAATTTGCGAGGCCGAACAGCGCACGCTGGGAGAATGCCAAGTGCAATAAGTGTGAGAAAGTGAAGCGTGGAAAGAAGGTTTAACAGATGGTTAAGCAGTTTAGTTGTTAGTAGTCAAATATTTAATGGAATTTATTAGAGTGTGAATTTATAATTTTTATGAATGTCGTATTGTTTAACTAAAAATAATGATAAAAATGACTAGGTAAATATAGTATAACCGTCAATAGTAATGTATTTAAGGTTTATATACTGAACAAATAAAATTCAGACATTAAATGCGCTTGGCAAACCCGACCTTGACATAAACTGGGTATGGAATTATTGTATGTCATTATTTAAACAGCTGTCTGCGACTTGTTCATAGTTTCCGTACAAGCTAGCATTTTTTTCGCTATAACTAGAATTCGCTGAAGTTTTTTTATAGGTGAAAGATTATTAGTAATGACAGGTTTCATCTGTTTTCGAATTTTCGCAACTCGATTTTTGGTAATTTCCAAATAAAACCCCAAAAATTGCTATAACCGAGAAATAAATCAAGGAACGTAGAAATACTTCAGAAGATATTAACTTTAAAGGTCAAGTTTAGATCAAAAACAAGTAAAAAAGATGTTAACTTCGGCTACAACTTAGCTATATCAGGAACTTGATTTTTATATGCTATTAAGGCCGCCCAAAAAGCTTGGATATTATAGGGTTGCCTTGGCAAATAATCTAGGTCAAATTTCGTGAAGAAATTTTGTTAAATGAACAAGTTTCTTATACAAAAGATTATAGTATTACTTTGGGCAGTAATCTATGCCAAATTTAACGAAGACATCATGTTCCCACATGATATCAACATATCAAATGGGAGAGATTTTCATACAAGAACTTAATTTAGATGGATCAGTCAGGCCTCTTTATGCTATAGTGGTCCGTTGAATTCGGCGAGGGTCATCTACTGACTGTTGTTGTTGAGACATAAATTTATCTTGTTAGACAAAAAATGATTGGAAATCCACTAAAAATATTACAAAACTCAGTTAAGTCCTTCAGGTAAGTCACAAAATGAATGAGTGAATACCGTCTAATGAGCCTTAATGGAAAGATGGGTATCGACATTGTTAGCAACAAGGGCAAAGTCTTCCCTATGGTTTTTTTTTTCCTAGAATAGATAGAATAGATCTTCACTCAACAGTTGTTAGGAATCCTGAGGATTACCTGCTTATTTTTTCATATTAACTAGAGAATCCTTAGTCTTATTCTTTTTTTTTAGTAACTTTTTATCAATAGTTAGTTTGGTTTAAAGATGTCGAAATAGGAATAGATTCTAAACGAACCAAACACAGCTTAAAATCTATTACTCATTTTTTTTTTAGCCATTGGTCAGTTGGTTTTGCTCTTCGAGATCCAAGTTAATGAAGAATCGTATACAAAAATTATATTAGAATTTTATAAATGCAGATATAAAAAATATAGACAAATTGATTGTGTGTAGAGCTAAAATAGTCAATGTCTTGCGAACTAGTTTCCTCAAATATAAAGAATGGAAATTAGCAACTCTACTGAACAATATTTGGGAGTTTTAACCTTAAAAGTGTTTCTGATTTTGTTTACATAGAAATCACTAGAGCGAAAATGAATCATGAAATTCAAGGCGATATTAGGTACGTTGTCTAGGTAGCCTTGTGTAAGTATTTTATGATTTTGTGATAATATTTCTTAGCTTCTGTATATTGTGTATTTTATAAATCGGTAAACATTTAAGTATTGTTTTTTTTTTAGTGGGACTATATTTTTACTCTTTATCATTAATTTTATGTGGTTATGGTATATTAAATCAGTTCAATGTTAACACAGCGCCGTAAAGAAACCGGAAAACCGGGCTCCGGGATGCTCTGTATTAAATTGTTGGAGAAAAACTCTTCAAAACACCAGAGAACTCCGGTCCGGGAGGAATTATTATATAACCATGCTCCCCCTCTCTCTTTCGATGTCCAAACATAACCTCATTTTATTGGCAAACATTTAAAGTATTTTAATAAAAAAATTTATTAAACAAACTCACCCTCCTGATTCTTTATTTTGGACTCGATTCCTTTGATAAAATCACGATAAGTAAACGATGGAATTCCGGCTAACATTGCTGCAATTTCGTTCGCATCAGTAGCATTGTACATTTCTGAAATTTAGTTAATAAATTAATATTAATCACTAGTGTATGTGTGGATAGTCACCATTTTGTTGCAATATTTTTTTTTTTAGAATTTCATCTATTTTTTCTTCAACTCACCATAGTTTTGAATCGGTTGCGTGCAGGAGTTAAAATTATTGCCTTTCAATGTTAAAAACTTTATAGTAGCATTGATGGTGGATAACGTTCGAAATGGTATATGTGTAAGATTATTATATGACGCCGAGAAGACCATAACATTTTGCCCAATTCTCAATTGTTTTTCCAAAGTCTTGTGGTAGAGCTTATCATCATTGTTGAGATTGTGATAAGATAAGTCCATGCCCATAAAGTAATGTAAGTTTTTTTGTTTGCTTTCTACAATTAATAAGGAATTCAAATGAGATTTATCAGCGTGTAATCGAAGTATTTATGTATAACTTTAGGAAACTTAATTAAGCTTAATAGCTAATAAATGCTCTATAGAGGTCACCTCCACTGTGGGAAATATTGTTAGCAAAGTTTTTGTACATTTTTAACCTATTTATCATAAAATTCTTCCGTTATTTTTACAAAAGTTTAAGCTTTGATTATTTGACTATTAAAATTCCTAGAAAATCTAATCGTTTTATGCGCGGCTACTGGTGAGAAGAAGCTTGTCTTAAATTCACTAGCTGGTTTGATTTTGCTGAACGAGGTATGTTATGAATTCTATATTTTTTTTACTATGCTGTGTCCAAGAATTAAGTTTTCGAAACCATTTTTTTTGAAAGTTTTCTTAAATATCGTAATTTTTTTTAATTTCGACCAACGGCCCAAAAATAATCAGGACACTTTTCATTACATTTATTGTCTAGATAATATGTGTTGTACTTTTAGTCGCTTTGTTTGAACAAGTTTCGTCTACAATTATACATAACTTCGGGTTTGCCATTGATATTTCCGAACGATTACGTTTATTTCCACTTTTTGATTTTTAAAACAGGTTCATCAAGTATTCAATTATGTTATTTTCGGCGGGGTTTTTAAAATTTCAACTCCGAAGTGTTTATGTTCTTCCTTTATCTAGCATAAATTAACCAATCAATATTTAAAACACACTTGATAACATTAAGTTAAAAAATATACAAGGTTTTATTTGCAAAACCATGAATTGCATTTTGCTTAATCAACAAAGAAAACTCAAATCATATTTGATTAAAGATTATCAGAAATATACACAAAGAAAGAGTCGAATTTCAGCAACAACTAATCTATGCCTAACGATTTATTTTTATGGTAGCGATATTAGACTTAAGTTATTTATGGAGGTTTTGTTAATTTTTATAAATTTTAGCGATTTCTGTTTTGATTTTGACTTTACGGTATTACAGCGCATACTTGTATATAATCTTATCAAATTGAATGACTTCTATATAAGAACGATTATTTCGATTATATAATATAATTACATATGTATATATGTTTTTGATAGAAGTATTGATGTATGTACCGTTTATCGCCAAGCCAATCGCTATTTTAAACGATCTGAATCTAGTAGCTGACAGACTAATAAAGATTGATCAGAGGTAAGGTGGGCAAAATTTATTACGAAGTTTCTAGTTCTTTTCAAATTTTGTGTAGAGTACTTTTACGGAAACCTGTTTAAAATAGTTTGGTCGATTATAATGACAATCAAAGAGAAAATCATATAGCATATATTCTTTTTAATGTGAATCTTTGTTTTTGAGCAATGTGAAGCACTCCGGATTTTTTATCAAGTGTTTTGTTAGGCCGGATTTTTGTTTATCCTTGTGAGACTTGTTAACAGTTTGCTGGACGTTCGATCGAGCTTACGTTTCTGCTATGCCTTTTTGTAGGTATTGTCCAAACAGGTTGGGAAATACAAATTTAAAGTTTGTTAACGTCAGAATTGTGGGACTTTATTCTGTCATGCGGTTCTTGGAACCACTTGGCTATGGCGGATGTTTATTAATGAAAATATAATTATTTTATTTGACAAGATATCTTCACGAAATTTATCATGGATTCATGTTCCACGCAATAATCAGCACCCGAATATATTGTTCTGATTGGACTTCTATAGCATATAACTGACGTTCAAACTGGCCTATCAAAATCAAGCCCTTTTTGTTTGAGAAATTATCTTCACGAAACTTGACATGGATTCTTATCCAAGACAGCGCTATAATCTTCAAAAATATTTTTCACATTGGCCCACTATAGCATATAGCTGGCATACAAACTCACCGATCAAAATATAAAGATATACATCTTTTTATACCCTTTTATACTATAAGAAATGGACTTGTGAAGAGTATTAAAGCTTCGGTGCAGCCGAAATTATAGCCTTTTCCGGCTTTTATACGTATATACATCACTACATAAGCTGAAACTTACTTTAACATTAATATTATAACGAATAAAATTATTTCACTTTACTTACTTTGAGCTTGAAGCAATTCGAAGTTCAGTGAACCATTTTTGAAGGTCCACCATTGCACTAAATCCTTTACTCCGTCCATAATGCACGCGTTATTCATTTCGGATTTATACCGTCGTAGAACAGCTTCGAGATCGTGATTAGTCACAATATCATCCCAACCGCGAAATAGACCATACAACATAGTATGTTCGAACGATTCATCTGTTGGCGGTAACTCAGTGGTGGTTACTTTGTATTCAAGATCAGTTGAAGTAGCTAAATCGAATTTTTGGTTTTCAAGAAAATCTATTGTAACACTGCCGGGAAGCGCTGCTTGCTCATGCTCGAACAAATTCCGTTCTGTTGTGTTATTAGCATCATCTGTTATTAAATCGTATTGATAATAATTTTGTGCCTTCGACGTTAGCCGCTGTGAGGATTGCTGAGAATTAGTGTTATTTGTTGTTATTTTTTGTTTCACACCCGCTGACGCGGCAGTAACCAACTGCCACAACGTTGCGTTAAGTATTTCGTTGTTACTGTTGTCAATATTACTAAGCTGTTTAACGTTACTGGTTTCATGCTTGTAGCTGTCCTGCAAATTGTTATCATCGCTGAGAACATCACGCCCATTGCCGCAGCTGTTGCTACCATATTCGCCATCATTATCGCATAACAGTTTCGTTTGTTCAACCGATAGTGTATTATTATTGTTGTTGTTATTAACATAATTAGGTATTGTTATTGTTGCATTCATTATTGTTTCTGCAAATATGCCATTACTGTTGTTGTTGCTACCATTAAACAGCATATAATTGTTTTTGCTTAAGTTGCTGTCATTGTTGCTGCTGTTGTGGTTGTTATCGCTGCTGCTATCGATATCGTTGATAAACGTTTTATAGCGATAGATTATGGTCGCCGCATTCAGGCCGTGTAATTTGAAGTGAATTATTAATATTACGAGCGCCAATTTTAGTGCGTAACTCATTTTTGGCGCCTGATCAAGTTCAATACCCGCCACCCACCACAATACGGTTTGTTTGTATGTTGCTAATCTGATGACTATTCGGGGCTGATGTGGTGTGCTTGTAATATGCACACTTCAATTTATTTTTATGTTTTTAGTTTTTACGCGTTGTTGTTATTGTGTTTATCGATCTCACTGATTATTTATTATTATAATTAATTTTCGGACAAAATTTCGGCGTCATAGGTTGTTTTCTTTTTTAATTTATATTCGATATATTATATGTGGTCTTATAAAGTTTTCTCACTTTAGCTACTTTGTTTTGCATTGTTTGTTCTGCGTAAGGCGTAAACAAATTTATATCAACATTTTATTTTTAACACGATATTTAATTTCTAAGCACTTTCAGAAACGACGAATGAGAGGTGATGTTAAAATTTAGAAGGTATATAAGTTGGGTCGAATAAAAAGCTGCCTTTAGTGTGGGCAAGAGAGTAGAAGGTATTTTTGGCGGTCGAAGAAAAAGCTATTTTTTGTGAAAGTGTACAAGGTACTTCATCGGAATATGAATCACTTAAAACTTTAGCAAGATATATTTAAACGCGAGTCCAAATATATGTATTTTCTTTATACACCCAACTGGTCTTACGTGTTGGTTTTATGCTAATTCATCTATCCTCAGACATAATTATGTTCTCTTCCTAATAAAACTTTTTCAAAAATCTGGAAATGTCTGTTGATTTTCCGCCAGTTCAGACAATAAATTATGATTATAATGTGTATTTTTTTGACTAGTTTGATGTTTCAGTACAGAAATATTATTCTTATATAATATGTCTCGCCAGTTTTACTTGCTATGTTTTTTTTATATTAATAAAATGTATATGGGTTGAGAAGTAGCATATTTAGCCCACAGCGCTGCCGATAATCCGGGCTACTGCACATATACCAGGTCAGCTAGACTCAGGTAAAAATAAAAAAAGCTTTACTCAAATAACATTCCTAGTTTTGCAGGCGCTATTTGCACTCAGAAAATGTCGTAGGTCCTTTAAAGTATATTTAAAAAAAAAATAAAGTTAATAAATGATCAGCGTGACTAGCTACATCGATTTAGCCAGCTCTTTCTGTCTATCTGTATATGCGAACTTGTTCCTTAGTCTTTGCAATATCGCTCTGATATCCGTCGATATCGCACCACTATTTTATTTGACCATATAGCATCACAAAATTCGACAGAGTTATTGTCCAACAATCTCTGAACATGCTGTTCAGTTGGGACCATATATATAGCATAATGCTGCCATACAAACTGACCTGTCAAAATCAAGATAAAGATAAGTGATATGTGGCTACGTGGCTAGAAAGAACTAGCAAAACGTTGTCCGTTACGTTTTCAAATTTAGTTATATCTTTAGTTGGTATAAGAAATGCACTTGTGAAGGATAATATAGATTCGGCGCAGCCGAAGTGAACGCTTTTGTTTAATCAAATATGCACTTTAATTTCGTTTATGGAATATACAAGTACTTTATAACAGTTAGTCATTGGCAATATATTTTTATCGATAAAGTACTTATGATTATTTATAATTTCTTTTAAAAATCGCTCACTCTTTTCACTATTCTGCATGACAAATTCAAGCTTTTATTTATTTATTTTTTGGTAGATGAAATATCTACACTCATTTTAACGCGTTTTTTTGTGTGTTTAAAGTTTTCCACACGCGTACTCGCAAGATTATACGTCCAACTCGAATCGTTGGTGCTGAAGCACTAAACCAAATATGCCATCAAATTTGTTAAATTTCTGCAAATGGTCAATGGACAAGACGCTGGGAACGAAGGTTGGCTAATTTGTTGTCGATTTAGCGGCGTATCAGTAGCACACGCTTATCAATTTTGGCAATTATTACTTCCATGTTTCATATCAGCGCGGTATGCGGCGCACCACTATCAACTTTTATTATATTTGGCTATCAGTCGCTGTGTACGGTCTCTACGTCCGTCTCACCAATTTTGGCTGTAGCACCTGAACCGGATTACATTGCCATTTACTCTAATGTATGATCTATAAATCATTTTAAAGACGTGCGCGTGAATTTGTGGCTGAAAGCAACACCTTTACATGCATTCGGGCATTGTCGTGTGTACAATCGGACATCAAATTCAACAACCTCGTCATATTTTGAATTTCCACATGTTTCCTGAATGAAAATGTCAACGGTATGTTTTTATTCTGAATTTGCTTTATGAATGTTAAATTCCTTTCTTTTTTACTGTTATCTACATTATTGTAAATATATATCAATATTTTGTCAACAGTGCTTTTCTTGATTTATTTTTGCAACAACGATCGAATTGCGCTCATAAGATTAGAAAAAATTATTATACAAAATTTTAATAAAAAAACAAAAACAAATTTTTATCTGTCTTTTTTTGTTATTCTTCATATAATCAATTTAAACGGTGTGCTTAAAAATTGATATTTTCTGTTTTTAATATAATATCTTTCGTCCACAAAACTAAATTTATAATATTTTAATGCCTCGCTGTCATCAAGGAGTATATGCATGAAGCATGTGTAAATAAACTGTGCAAAATGCCAGCAGGAAAAAAAACGAGTGATTTGTTCCGAACTGCTAAATGTACCCGAATTACGATTATAGAAAAGATATCTTCGCCAAAAATCTCTCACTTTATCTCGACTAAGGTGGAACAAACTGCTTTTTCGTCTCTGGAACATACAACAGACTTAACCATCACTTCAAGCTTCAGGATACATACTTTGTGATCTCCGTTGATATTAGCGAACTTATGCAAAAAAAAAAATTGTTCAAACGCACAAATTCGCTGAAGCTTAAAAATATTCTATAAGAATAAAATCACAGAAAGAACTGAAACCATTCATACCGTAAACAACGTCAGGAACTAAAATAAATGACACATGAAATTTAAGCCCAAACAATTTTGAATCGTGCAAATTGCAATAAAATTATGTAAAAAAAAATAAAAATTTTGCGGCAAATTCGGTAGTTTCTGGTTTGTATGTAACCAATTTTGTAAAAGTATAACCAATCGAAAAATTAAGCAAAAGCGTGTGCCCCTTAATGGTGAATATGCTAACATACATATATATATATATAATATATGTGTATATAAAGTTTTTTGATAAATGTTTCTTTTAGTTCAACAACACAAACAACATTCTATATTGTCTTAAGGGATTCGATGGCGTGAGCAAAGCTTGTGGCGCTTACGGGGCATTCTGTCTAAGTTCTAGTGTAAATAGTGAATGAAAAAGATTGTGAAAACATAACACTATTTACACGCATTAATCGTAGATAATGCAGTGACTTAAATATAGTGACTACTGGCACTACTGGAGTAAATATAGTGCTAATGCAATACGCATTAGTACATATTAGAAAATGTTGATAAAACTCGTAGAAACTGATTTGAGCATGAGTTGGTACCAAAACGGAAGTCAATACAGCTCAACTCTTTGTAATATGAAAAATTAGCGATAAGTATACATATTTATATGTATACTTTACAACTTCGTACATATGTATACTTTACAACTTTCGCTACCTTTCGCTCAATTGTAAGTCCCTTATTGAAAAGCAACAACTTTTCATGTCAGGTGTGCAGAGTAATTAATAGTTGGCGTGATTTCAATTTATTGTTAACGTTTTGGCTCAAGTGCTTTTTATCGAATTTAGGATTATTTTACTTAAGTTACTCAAATAACTCTATTTACAGTTATAGGCTCTTTAATAATAAACGCATACACATAAAAAATATAGCGTGGTTTCGACAGCCTTACGCCCTTTTAATTTTTTTTGGGAAACCCTACAGAATAATATCTTTTTAATTGATTGAGGCAACTTTTTGATTTTCAAGTAATTTGAGCTGTTTCACATGCCTAGCAAAACTCGTGCTAATGATGTTTGTATTACCATAAATTAGGCAATAATTGTAAAGAATTCCATTGAAAAAACTGAGCTCATATGCAAGAACCCATAGCAATACTACAGCGAATCATTCCACATATTGCATATGTACAAGTAGTTTTTGAGATTACTTCTGATTTTTTTTATCTTTATTTTATCAGCAAATCGCTGAGTGATTCGCGAAGATAATAATCTCATTTCGTTTTTCGACTATGAGCCAATGCCGCGTAAGGTGTTTAATCATTCGGAATAGGTGTAAATATGTGTGGCCTGGCATTATCCTGATGGAACACAATTCGTCTCCTATTGAACAAAGCTGGGCGATTTCTTACTTCAGACGGTGCAATTATTGCCAGTACAGGATCCGTACTAAGTGTTTGGCGGACAAACTAAAAGAGTTCCATTATTTTATCGATATTTTCGACAATTGGTAAATGTAAATTGTATAATGTGGCGTATTACTCTTTACTGCTTTGGCTCTTTGACTCCTGCTCAAACAATATGATACTAATTCAAACAATAATAATTGTTTTTACTAGACCATATATATACTATATTTTCTCGAAAAATAAACGCCTTGAAATACCTTAAAATGATATAAAATCACTAAACTATAGTATATCCTAAGTTTAGGAACCACCGAAAAAATTTTAAGCATCTTCTAGTGCGATATTTTCAATTTAAAGTTAATGGAGGTAGTAAAATTAATATATTCGTGACGGTGTAAGAAAAGGACGAACTGGGATAGAACTTATCATGTAAATATAAAATACAAAATTTCTTCTCGACGATTTCTATTAATTTATTGCTATTTTCAACAATTGGTATCGAATTTCGACCGGTATCGAAGTAAAGATGTAAAATATATCTTAATTTCTCTCTGTTGGTGCCCATCTTTGAAGCGTGTTCCAGTAATACTGAGTCAAGCAACCGCAAAAAATTGGCTGAGAGTCCTTTTAATACAAAGTCTTATCTTATACTTATACAACGCGAGATGCAGCTTACTAAAACCATCTATGGAAACAATAATGGATTACTTTTAACTACAAGTATACCTAATATATACAATTTTCCAAAAAAATATTAAACATTTATCTGTTTAAAAGAATGGCATCATTACAATGTAGCATTAGAACAGATAATAAGTTTAGATATTTTAGTGCTTATTTGACAATAAAACAAAAAAAAATTATAAAATAAATATTTGAGGAATTTCACTTTATTTTTGGCAATGAGCACATTTGATACTTAACGACAATGTTGACATACTTTTAAGTGCCACTATCTAGTTAAAGGCATCACGAAAAGTAGGTAAGACTTGCGAATCGTTGGTGGCTATTCATCCAATAGTCTTACTAAACCGCTAATAACTTGGCATTGTGGCACAAACAAAAGAGAAATAAAATACTGTTAGTTGTGCTCTTTCTCTAACTAGCAGTAAATCTATATTGCTTGACTTTTAGAGTAAAGAAATTTATGAGCAGAGAGCAT